TTCAGATATGCACGGAATTCACCTAACAAATAAATATGATGTAATGATACACATAGGCATGAGCAATAACAGTTTAATATAAAACAAAATTAAAATATAATTTTTACAGTAACTAGATTCATTATGTATTGAAAGAGTTCATTTCCCCCCCTTAATCCTGACCGCAGCTTTGAGATAATGAAATTTTTATTTAATAACTTTCAATTTTAATTTACATTTGTTCGCTACTTTTATACCTTAAAATCATTATTACTATATACACACTTTGTCAGTATTTATATTCTTAAATATTTAAAACTAGCTGCTATGTGGCCAGGCTTCATCTGGCTTTTAAATGTACCAGAAAACAAACATCCTCTCAACAAACGTCCAGTATCCAAGAGAAACATTAAATTTAAAAATTTCTCAGAAATCATCACCCTTATTTTTGGAGTGGCAACAGTGCTGATTGATATCAGCAACAATGGCAAAAGTGATATATCAACAAGGGCTGTGTGCTATTGTTGCTGCCTGCCATGGATTTGATGAGATTTTATCAAAAAACATAAAATGGTACACTGGCTCTTGTTTGGATGCACCTATGTACCGAATTTTGTAGCTCTGGGTCTATTAGCTCATGTGCAGCACGAACAAAAGGCACACAGGCAGACTTCTTTTTATTACATGTAGAGATAATATCATTCCAATTAAGGTTCAGCTATAGCTGTAACAAACAAACAAAAAAAAAAAAAAAAAAAAAAAAAAAAAAAAAAAATTAGTAAAATTTTGTCTAACTTTGTTACAGATATTTGCAAGAATTTCCCTCCAGACACACCCTTGTTTAGATGGCCACACACAAGGAAAAAAAGTTTCAATAGCGTGTTTTCTTTTAGTTCTCACGTTTCGTAAAAGATAAATAAACAATTATTGAATGCAATTACCTTCACGTATAAGATGCAGGTAACTTTTTTGAGACCAAATTTAGGAAAAAAAAGTGCGTCTTATATGCCATTAAATACCTAATAACCTATCATCATCATAAGCTTCTTGTCCTTAATATTTCTACTTTGATATATGATCCAGATTAACAGATTTAATTATTCATGGATTATTTAATTGCATCTTATATCAAAATATGAAAAATATATCACTATTCAGTTTTTTTATTTTTAATTTTGAGTCATAAAATTTATTAGTGCTATAATAGCAAAGGCAGGAAAGTTTCAAAATGGTATATTTTCAATAAACTTTCTATTCTTATAAGGAGTTCTGAGGTATAAATTATTCATAAAATTACAAAATATGTAAACCTTAAATAAAAAATTAGGACTATGATAGACTAAAAATTTTTACAGCATCTACATAAAAAGCTTTTCTTTCTTTCTTTTTTAAGAAACATCATATATATATCACAAGTAGATATATCAGATGTGTTAAAAAATAGTGGAAACTTTTTAAAAATGGGATATCTTTCTGTGAGACAACATTTATACATTTTGATGTATGTTCACTTATAGCAATGAAAGTATACCAATTAATACAGGATAAAAAATAGGAAGAATTAAAATTTTACTATGCTAATTTATACATTTAAGATTAAAAATAAACACACTATTGCTTAAAACCTAATGACTGCAAAAATATGATTCGGATTAAAATTATCTAAGGGAAAAAAAAAAATCTGAACACCTTTCAGATTTTACATTATGCCCAAAGGGGCAATTTTTTTAATATTTTATGTGCTACCTTTATTTATTAAATATCATGTTCTTTGCACTTAAACAAGAAAATTCAGTTCAACAGCAATATTGAAAAATAATTTTAAAATGAGCATAACTTTAGAATTTCTGATACACAATTTCGCACGCTGGAGATAATTTTTTTTTAATACAATGTAGCCATTGCTTGCTTTTAAATTGTCTATGTCAATCAAAAATTTTAAAGCATTACAAAATATGAAATCGATAATAAAACAAATTTCTAATTCCAAATTTGGGCTTCTAGATGCTCATTTCGTTATTCAAAATTTGATGGCTCTAGGTACCGTTGTTTTATCGCAATGCTAGAAACATACATACACTTATGCAGATTCTTCATTATAATTTCTTTAAATATAACACAGGGCTTTAATATTTGGTGGCAATAATATGAAAAATGAACTGTCATTTATAGTGAATCAGCGCAAAATGACGAAATGAAATTAATAGCCCTTCTGGGCTAATGCCCTTTGCACTAATAAACACTTGCTGCCAAGAAAAACGGGTAGAGAAATCATACGCTTTGAGGGCTCAAACACAGACAGATGTTCAGATTCACCTCAATTCCAAAGTTCCTATACAATAACTTTAGAGTTTCAATTACTATGCAAAAACTTAAAAATGTGAACAAAAAAAAAAAAAAAAAAAAAAAAAAAAAAAAAAAAAAAAATTCTGCAAATTCAGAGTGGATAACATGCAGTAAAAACAAAAATTTATTCTTAACTTTATTTGCTTTGCATTAGTTAGGGATATTTCATTAAATGCTAAATCACATAAATTATGAACACTACTGAGTATTATAAAGCAAATATCCTAAAATTTACAGCAAAAAATTGCTACTACAGGATGAGAATTCTAATTTGTTCAAAATACATTAAAGGAAAATTATTATTAAATTTAAAAACAGTACAAGTGAGCAAACTATTTTTATTACCATTAAACTAATTATTACCGCATAAATCTTTATTACTAGCAGCTTACAAAACAAATTCAATAATTAAACCACACTGAATGATATAAATTAAACTGGTACTTACATATTACTCCATCAGCCATGAAACTTGGCCAACATCAAATCATGAAAGGTGACAGAGATATTATCAAAGTCTGGCCAATTGTTTCTGCAGAATTCTGAAGGAAATGGCATTTCTTCATTCAATAAACAATCAGTATTTGACCCGCTTCATTTTTTGCATTTCATGAAAAGGCTTTCATGAATTTCTACAATTTAGTTCAGCCCTCTAATTTTACTGCAATTTCTGTTCAGAACACAATGAATACAAATGCTTCGCAGATAATTCTTTCAAATCTATTACCACTTTGTTAGCCATATTCAGCAGCCATATCATGTATATTAATACACACTTCTTTGGATGGAAGGTTTCCATAACTTTGGAAATAATTTACTACTTGCTGTTTTGTAAAAGGCAGGTCCCAAACTCCCCATAATTTTTTTTCTTCCAAAGTGCAAGAAAAAAAATTACAGCAATAACAAGTAATTTATATTCTTTTTTAATTTATATCCTTCTTCATAAAAACAAAAACGGCTTATTGAGAATCAATCAGGGTTACACCAAATGAAAGTGCAGATGCTGTGAGTGCGTTGCTATGCTACACTTTTCCATAAATGGCACTAAACTGTACTGCTTGGCGACAGTCTCACGGTCAATGGAATAATATGCAAGTAAATTATTAATACACCTTATTTTTAATAAAACTAACAATTAATAATTATCTTTGATGGCAAAACTAATGTGGAAATGTATTCATAATAAAAAATGCTTACTTGTTAAGGCCTAGTAACATAAATCAATAGCACCACTATTGATAAAACAATAAACAATTTTTTTTCAATTTTTTTTTTAATAAAAGAACTAAAACGTCCTAAACATATAGCACATAACAAATACAAGCAAGAAAAGTCCCAAATTTGTACAACACTAATAACATACATCCATACCATTTATAACCACAGATTATTTTTCTAAGGCACATCTAGAATACTAGTTAATTATTTTGGCACAGTTATGAAAATTTGTCGTGTTAAGATTAAAAACACTCATCATGCTTTAACTACGCTTGTCAGTACTACAACAAAACAAACATAAAATGCACCACTATCTATTAAATTATATGGACCATTTATAGTACTTCAATAAGATCCCTTTCTATGCTTTACATTTATTCAGTATTTACCTATTATAACATGAAACAAAAGTTTTAGAAAAATAATCCTATTAAAAAAAGGAAAATATTTTTAAAAATTGATTTTTCCAGAAATTTTAAATAAGTATTAAAAATAAAGTAAATGGCAATCACTTTATACACTTCACAAAAGTTGAAGTAAATAACAGAAAGAATTCAGATTAATTGTCAATATAAAATTCATATCATTATAAGATTTACATACTGCAGTAACTAAGAAAAATAAATATTACTTTGATAACTTAAGCTCTTATTAGTACAGAAAAACTAAATAAGATTTCCATACCATACAAATCATTATGTAAAGGCACTATTATGAGCAAATGTGATACACAAGTTTAATTTAAAGCACTGTTTTGGCAAAAAATAATTATGTTATTTTTTATGTTATTTAAAACATATCATAAAAATTAAATTATGAATTCTTAAACCTGAAAGGAAAAGATAAAGTATAAGTAATTTAAAAATTCAAAGAAAACTAAAACTCGGATAAATAAAAGATGAAAAATTAAAGCATTGTTTTTATTTATACAGCAGTGCATAATCAGAAAATAAAGTTTATTATAGTTATCATTATAGTTTTATGATCTCAAACGCTATCCTATCTGGCAATCTGCCAAAAAACACACACTCATCCCAAAAGGGGCGTTATTACTTGCTGGGACATGAAAGGAAGAGATTCTTCAGGAAGAGATACCCTGGGAGGGAAAGAAAGTCCCTATCCTTTCACACTATTTTGAGAATAATTCGGTTCACATGGCACACACGTGTTTGCGGTCAAAAGGGAAAAAAATTACACAGCTTTTAAGATTCTTATACAAAATCCCACCTTGAAGCATATTTCTCTCTATCCTTTTTTTAAAACGTCTTAAAAGCTACAAATAGAGACATTTAAGCCAATACACTGCCATTAATTTTAGTAATTGAAAGTAAAAATATGCTCATGATACAAATTTCCAAAAATAAAAATAATACAAAAGGAACAAAACTATTTATACTGAAAATATGCATTAATATTTATTACTTTCACTACTGTACTAAAAAAATTTTATTGTCTTCCAACTAAAAATTTCCAGAAATGTCTTAATAGGTAATCCAATTAAATACTGAAAAGTTCCACTCTGCATATTTTATTTTTGCAGATGGTTTGGCTGGAACAGAGTTTTTATGTATTTTTTCACATGAAATGTCAATTCTTTATCTACTTAATTAAAAAAATTAAATTATGAATTCATTAAAAATTCAGTTATTCATTAAAAAAAAAGAAAGTTAAAGGAATAATTTAAAGAAAAAGTTTATAAGAAATTTTCATGATTTAAAACTTAACAGAAATAAATATTACTGCAAAATTTTTTTTTCAATAAGTATATAATTATAATACTTATTTATATGAAACAATGTTTGACTTCATGACTATTTTTGATAAGCTATGATTACCCATATCCACTTCCTGAAAAGTTGCCAACCCTTGGTGACTAATATTTTGCTAGACTAGGGCACGAAATACAACAAACATTTTCAAAAATAACTGCACATTCAGAAATACGTAAAACAACAACCAATTAGCACAAACTTAAAAACAGACGAAATATCCATAATAAAAGATTTACCCTTTTTATCGCTGTTTTGTCCATGCATATAGCGATCTGTTTTAGCTTTAAAAAAAGAATCACAGAACTGCAGAAACTCATGACGGTGCACAAGGTACTGCATACACTGTCATTCTTCCCATACACACAGTGATATTTTTTTTAATCCACTGGCAAACTCTATAGTCCCATTCAAATTTCTCACAAGGTGGGAGAAAATCTACCCAATGCACACATGCATATCTGGGTTTTTAGTATGAATACATTTTGGTGATGTTAGAGGTTGCCTATTCCGGTGACAAAAAAAAACTGCTTCATGAATACTTTTCAGGAAGATGCAGATAAACAGAAAGTCTCCTACTGGTTTTATATGGTTAAGAATATTAATATATGTAATTCTGGAAATTTAAATTTCTTGAAGTTGTTTTATATAACACATGCAATACAAATCTTTCACATATTGCAAAGATGCAGTAATTAAATGAAAGTGCACATTTACATATAAAACAACAGCATGCCAGATGATGACAATAATCTTACTAAACTTACATATTTATTTAAGGAATGCACTAGGGAAAAATACAGATGAATTTTTACAATATCCACTTCAGACACTTCAAATGAACAATGCAACTAAAAACTCATCAATATTAAAAAAAAAAAAAAAAAAAAAAAAAAATGCTTCAGGTATTGTAAAGCATCATACATAGTCAAAGCATCACAAATATTTACATACTGCACCATATTAATTAAGAAAAAGTAGTTCATACATGTATATTAATACTGAAGCAATTAAGAAATTTTTTAAAAAACATATGAAAAATTCACTATATTAAGAGCTGTACCACTGTAACGATTTACATATAAAGCAACAGCATGCCAGATGATCTCATTTAAAATATGCCAAAAAATAACAAAACAAAATGCACAGTGCTGTAAAAATAAACTTGCATATCATATCTACTCCATTTTCTTTAGTGTAGCACAGTAACTCTACAATCACACATATTTTGATCTCTCTCATTGATTTTCAAAATAAAAATCTTTCTCTTTCTATAGTAATAGACTACTTACTAAAATAAATACTACTATTAATTTACATGTAAAATACCAGTTCCAAAATTCTATATTCTGTCAGAATATCATATTCCTTCTGCTCCTATCAAAATACTTCACATTAATAATAAAAAGTATATTATTAAGAACAAGATAAAGAAATAAAATTTCAATTAAAATAACAAAAAGTGTTGCAACAAATAAAATAATTACAAGAAAGCACAGAAAACACACAACTTGGCTCTAGAATATATTACAAGGAAGTTAAACTAGTTATGCTAGAATTTGAAGTTTTATCATAATCACCATCACATATATCCTGTTTAGACTTTTCAGATTTACCTGACACAAATAAAACAGTGCTATTAGCAGTATGAATGGGCAGACTTTGACTATTCAAGTTTTTATAATTTTGATCAGAATGACCATTAGAAGAATCATTATCTTTATGCACTCTTTCGTATCCTGGATCTGTGTCACTATCTGACCGCTGAACTGTTTCATAGCCATGATCAACTATGTCTGAGCTTTTATTTTGCACACGTTCATAACCAGGATCAGTTGCATCACTTCCTGTCCTAAGTACCTTTTTTATCTTTTCATACCCAGGATCGGCTGCATCACTCTCAGATCGATGCACTTTTTTCACTCGTTCATAATCTGGTTCTCTACTGTCATCTAATTTAACTACGGTGTAGTCTGAATTTGAATCACTGTCTTCAAAATTTCCTGAAATCCTCACCGGTTCATAACCTGGATCGTTTTCAGAGGTGGACTGAGCCACACATTCATATCCAGGATCAAGAGAGTCATCATCCTCGACTGAGTCCTTAACAATTTCATATCCAGGGTAATTTGAATCCCTCTGATGATTTACATCTGAATGACGAAAATCATCGTATCCAGTTTCTGTGTCCACTGCACTTGCTTCTTCTTTAATTTTTTCATAACAAGAATCACCAGAATTATTTTCCTCATTGTATATTCTTTCATAATCTGGCTCCTCTAGATCTTTATTTGAAACAGATAATGAACTATGAGTGCTACTACAAAATACTCTATTCTCATTTATGATATCAGGAAGGTTGGGATCAGCAGAATGTCTACGGATATGTTGAGAATGACTTGGTAAAAGGACACCAAGAGAAGCTGCTTGTAGTCTTCCTGCAATGGGAGGAGGAGCAGGTGGAGTTGTTGAAGCCCATGGAGATGGTGGTGGAGTCATACATTCAGCACCTTCTGTCGAGTATGCAATGTGACTTGGATGAGAAAAATAATCATCAGAATCAGAAATATTTATAGTCATATCAACTCTTTTTTTGCGCACTTTTGCATACAAGTCTTCCACTTTTTTGCGCTTTTCATCTGTAGTTACTAGACTAGCACCTTCAGCTATATGAATGGTCTTTCGCTGTTTATTACTTTTTTCTACAGTAGAATAGAGAGAGGTAGAAGGATTACGAAGAACTGGAGGAGATGAAGGTTCTCCTGGATTTGAAATACAGCTACCAAAAGATGATGTTGAAACTGAGGAAGCTGCAAAGATTTCAAAATATCAATTTCATTCCTTAGAAGCAGCAAAAGATGCATTATGATAAATAATTACTTAATGTTTTGTGGAACCATACACTGATGTAAAACAAAATTTAAATACAAATATTAACTAATAAGATATTAGTGAAGGCTTCATAAAAAGTTCCAGAAAATATATACAACAGATTAAGGCCCTTCAGATCATGTAAAATTACAAAAGAAAAATTATGCTCAGACTTCACTGGAGTACTGTGCTTTTTACAGATGAGATTCAACCTGGGCACTGATTCTCAGCGTACCTTGTCTGGAAAGAGACTGGAACACAATACTACCTCACCCCTTTATTAGGGAAAAGGGTTTGTTCATTATGTACTCTAATCTCCCAGTATGGTTCTTCTAAAACACCACACTGAAAGAGATAAGGTTTAAATTATGAAAAGCTATGGATAATTTAATGGGCCAGCTGTACTCTATTTCCAAAGAGGCTTTAACCCTTTCAGGACGGGCATCCCATATACGCATTCCCTAAGAACGTCTCTTGGTGGTGGTGGTGAGGAGGCAAAGCATAAACAGAGGTAGGCTCTTTAAATCGCCGCGTGCTAATATAAATATTTGCGCGTCTGATTTATATTCAATTCCTTTTTTTATTCTATTCTTTTCCTCTATTATATATGGTCTTTTAGGGTTACTATGTGGAATTCTATTATGTTTAGCATTGCCTTCAGATATATTTCCGTTTCTTCCTTTTTATTTCGGAAAGCCTCACCTCCAGTCTATTATGGTGGGAAGGCGCTATTTATCAGAGGAATAATACCCTTGTATGGTTAATGAATCATTTACTAACGCAGATGAGAGTGATGATTCTTTTTCTAAAGAGTTAGAAAGTGATACTTTTTCTAAGAGTTTGATACTTCTCTGTGCTTCGAGATTTACCACAGTCTTCATTTTAAATTTTGTTACTTCTTACTATAAATAGTCTTAATCGTATTGTTTTATTAATTTTAAACTTTATTGATGGATTTTATCAATTAAAACTTTGGAATAGTTTGAATAGCGCTTCCGAAAATTATTTTACAAGATAAGGAAATTTTTAAGTATATTTTCATGTAAAATAAAGAAAAAAACGCTATTAAGTGCTAATTTTAACATATATACTCAAGCAATAATCTAAAAATTATACCAAAAATCACGATGCTAGAAGTAAAACTTTTTTTTTTCTGATTTTATATATATATATATATATAAAATTAGGTTTAGCGATGCAAAACCTCCGTCCTGTATGGTGACTGCCTTCGATTCCCTTCCCTTTGTTTAAGACGCCCGCACGAGCGTCTTAAACAAAGGTGCGCCGTCGCGAAAAGGTTACATTAATGCTTTCAACAATGGGGGGAACTGACAACTGAGAAAAGTGTGTTCTCTTCCATAAAGTCTAATTTTGAAAGTGATTAGGATATCAGATTTTTAGGCACTTTTCCTGGCCAAAATTGGATATATTTTTAACAGATCTTTAGGCATATTTTTAAAATTTAAAGTAAATCAAAAACCAAAATACATACAAAATTCCAGTAGTTAAACCAAAGTAAAAACATATTTTTAAACATTTATTTAAAATAAACTATGACTCGAATATAGGTATAATGTTTTACTTATATATCATCTTTTGCTTTTTCTAGCCCAAAGTTCTGAATATTTTTTCTCAAGGTGTTCAAAAAGCGAGGTTCCCTAAATTTTAAAATGAATTCATCCACATAGTGATTGCTTTCATCTTACTAACAGATTTACTCATGGATTTTGGTTGCATGGACTCTGACTGGTGGAGAAAAAATATGACCTTCATGAATATGGTGATACCTAACAAGTCTTGATAGTCTGACGATTATTACAAGTGAAAAGACAGTAATGAAGATGATAACAATGGTGACAACTTGTAAGCTGTAGTAAGATAAAATAGATAACAGATTCAGCAGCATTTGTGTTTATGGGCTAGGGAGTAGCAATGGACAAAAAATAAGATCAGGGAAGAAGACCTGAAGATACTTTATTAGAGATTGTAATGTTAATATTACCATGCATTATTATTACAATGTAGTTTTTTTTTAAATAATTAATATTGTGATAGTTACTGGTAGTTTATCCATGAATACTGTTCATTTGCTATGTTCTTACTGTAACTTATTCCTTCAAAAATTAAATTATTTGCATAATTTTCTCCTCGTAATTTTCATACAATAAAATTAGCAAAAAAAGCAGGGACATGAGAGTAAATAGAGTATGTGCATATGAAACTACATAAACACAGAATTCAGAAAGAAATTAAGTAATTTTATCATCTAGAATCTATGTACCACTTTTATTTTATTTTACCAATCATATACATCCAATAATGAAAACTGAAGTAGAACAGTTAACAAACATACCATTTCTTAAAATTATATTTACCTTGCCTACTATGAGCATGAGCAACTGATTTAAGGCTTTCCACTGTAGGAGGCACCGGTGGGAGTTCGCGTGGTTCAATATGTGCGTAAGTTATGGACGAAGACCCAGAATCATGGCCTGAGCCAATTTCTGCATACATTTGTTCTTCTTCAGGAACTGCATAATGATCTTCAGATACATCAGAATTCTGTAAAAATATAAATACCAATGAAATACTATAAATGCAAGGTCATGCTATGCAGTATCATTAAAAAAAAAGCAAGCACAATAATTTCAAAGGTACATCAACTTACAAACCACTTAGCAAGTAAACTATCTGAGATATAAACTTTTTTTACAGTCCATGTTGATATCTTGATACGAATTCATACTTAAGATATAGATTTTTTGGCCTGTGTAAATTATTCTCGAGATATGAACTATTGTGATATTTTAACATTACAGTACATGCTTTCTAATATTGGAAAACGGATTTGTAAAATATTTCTTAGTGTTTGTAACATTTTATTTAGTTTCATAAGAAGTGCATATTTCATTTATTCCTTGAAAATGAATATGAATAAATAAACTAAACTCTGGCGCAACAGCCCTAGTGGGCCAAGGCCAGCAGAGTCCCGAAATCTGATTTCTTGACCGTGGGACCCGGGTTGCGTAAGCATATGCCCTGAATAAGTGGTCAGCTTGTTGCAGGACCCCCAGTGTTTAATCCCAAGCAAACTTGGTACTTATTTTATCGACCCAAGGGATGAAATGCTGAGTCGACCTTGCCCAGCCCGGGGATTGAACCCCAGACCTGTGGTGCTGCTGCACGATGCGCCACCCAGCCACTGCGCCAAATATGAATATATAACAATTGGAAAGCTTGCTCATGAACTTTTGAAGAACTGTTTTGTAAAATAAAATCATATGTTAAAAAGCCACAGTTAAGAAACTACAGTTTCCAATGCAAGTGAATTCATCATTCATTATTCTCTGCAATATTCAGTTAGAGATGAATTTTTATTAGTAATAATTCTATACAGTCAAAAGTCGTTAATCCGGACTTGTCGGGCGATTCCGGAATACAAATCATCAGTTTAAATCTCGTAAAATGGCATGCAGAAATTCTAAAATTAAAATATAACCGTATTTATGAACTAAAGAAAATTATGATCAAAGGTATCAATTTACAAAAAAAAAAAGCTATAGTTATTGTTTATTTTATAAAATTCTTTCAATGTAGTTGTTTAAGTTGCTTCGTTTTAGTGATAAGACTTTTTTTAATAATACAACATATTTCTGTTCGTTACAAGTACTCTGTGCAGTCCGTAATGCTGTGCGAGAATACCGACTAACTTGTCATCGAAATTTTTCGTTTTCACAACCTCTCTGTCACTTCTTCAGCTTATCCATTTTAGCAGCAATTCACTTTTTTTAGACAGCGACATACTTTAGTTTTGTAGATCCTTGGGAGGCCCAGATCGGAAAATTCTATTTACATAATTGAAGATCAGTTACTTTTAAACTGCCTTACATCTGAAAAATAAAACCGGATCAATTCGAAGATTACGGACAATGCAATCATCAACATTAACTGAAATAGATATTAGATAATTTACTATAACCATCCGTTATACATAAGCGCGCACGCGAAAACTATTCTGCGCCCGCACACACGCTAGTGCAGTCGTAAGGTCTTACACGCGCGTGTAAACGCCTATGCGCATGTGTCACGCGGCGCATGCACAGAAAGTTTTTAGCCTTGAGGTCCGGATTATAGATCATTCCGGATTATGGGTGTCCGAATTAATAACTTTTGACTGTATATGCAAAATGAATTAACTGAAATCAAAAATTCACTTCATATCACTTCATTTTAATCCTGGTCGCTGCACCTTGAATTTCTACACAGCCCACCAGCAGCTGAGCAGTAAAGTTGCTGGACACCGGTATTTGATGCAGGTTCAGATCCCAGCAAACAGACATAATAGTTTTTATGGTTTTCTCATGTTTCCCCATTCCACGTTAATGTAACATGGATATGAGACATTTCCCTTAAAAGTCCCCCATGAAGGCTTCTTTCAATGTAGATGAATAGCCTTTGGGATGATTTGCCTTAATCGATTAACCTGAACCTGCTTTTCTAAAAAGTATAGGTTGTTTAACTTCAAATTATATATATATGTTACTGTAAAATCCCAAAGTATGGTGAATCCTAGGTTTTACTTGTAAAACTATAATGGTTAAATTTTCACTTTAACCAAATTAGCATTTAACCAAAATGGCTTGGTAAAAGTCCGAAGTATGCCTTAATATGATTCCTTTTTGAACTTTTGCCAAGCCTTTGCAGTAAAACCTAGGAGTTACCAACGCCTTCCAGTAAAAGGTTGAAACCAGGGATTACTTATGATAAGATTTTCCATTCACAGATATATAGCATACAGTGTGTCCTAAAAAAGTTAAAAAGCACATTTAACTTTTTAACATGTTGCCATGCGCATTTTACTTGGTTCGCCCATGGCGCCAACATGAATTTTTTATTATTCGACTCATACTATGCTGAAATATTATATACAGAAGATAAGGTGAGTTATGTAATCATTAAATTAAAAATTAAAAATTTATCTGTATCGATATTTACTCTAATTGTATATTTTTACTGTTGGTCGCGTCGCTGGTAGCCCCACGGCGCTGTAGCCAAGTTGAGTGCCGGCCAGCAGTGACCCCCATGGCAGACAACGTGTTAATTGATAATATAAATTGTAAAAGTGATGAAAATAAGGTATGATTTAAGATTATGCCGATGAAACTATCTTACAATTAAGACACAATAACATGCTGAACAAATACTAATTCAGAAGTCAAACAACAAAAATTAGCGTTATAGTTTCAAATTTTCACAGGACTAGTTTTGATGGTTTTACTGAACCACCATCCTCAGCTGCAAAAGCGCAAATGAACAAGATAGGATATAATGATTAGATGAGATAAGAAAGCCTGGACAGAAAATAAGCTAGTAGCGCCATCTGTTGATGAAACCAGAACTAAAACATAATTTCTTTAAAGGCCGAAGGCAAAGATGGATTGGAATTACGATCGTTAACTAGAACAGAAAGATTTTTTTTTTTAAATGTGAAATGCCTCTAGAAAATCCAGTTCTCCAATGGAAGATGTTTTTTGAATAATTTTGGCAGCAGAAAAATTGAAAGTGTGATTTTCGGACCAACAATGTTGGGCAACAGATTCCTTTTCAGCTGTACATTCAAATTTAAAGAATAATACTTAGCCCTATAGATATCATACCTTCTCATATGGAACTTTAAAAGGCATTCAGAAAAAAAAAAAAAAAAAAAAAGATTCACTAGCTTAAATACATAGTACAGTGTAAACCTCAAAGCAGAAAAATTACCTTAACATATTAAGAAATAATAATTAATTGTGCAAAATTCACTAGTAAATAAATGATGAATATTTTCTTGCAGCTGTAATGTGACAACATACAGTTTGCATATTTTCTTGCAGAGTCAGAGAGGAATGTGAGGAAAGAAGTGCTCTTTGCTCATAGTGGCGCTAGGCAGAAAGAAAGATGACATGAAAATATGACATTATTCTCATTTTGAATAAAAAAAATCATAATTTGGTGTATTAACTACAGATTAACACAGTCAATAAGAATTTTATACAAAATGGTTAAAAAATCTTTTTTTTTTTTTCTGAATTCTGACTTTATATGCATGTGGCATATGCATCACACATGCACAGACAACATTTCATTTTATCTACTCCAATATTCTACCACACAACTTGCTGCATGACTGATATAAAATTTTGGCATTACAGAATAGTGTAAAATAGCAATGGAGAATACTGGACTTTAGTGATAAAGGAGCGTTGATTTAATACCTGCTTGTACCTAATTGCAGTATATCATTTGCGTGAACAGCTGAAATGTCTTTCACAGTACAGCTTTCTCAACACGAAGTACAATACACTGCAGTAAAGACTAACATATAGGACCAAAAGATGTGCAGGAATTTAAATCAAGCAATCGGGTATTATTGGTGACATGGGCATTCTGCACACTTCAAAAAAAAAAAAAAAAAGTTAACTAAACTGTGGCCCAAGAAATACTTTCTGCCATGCTCCCCACAATGTCAAAAGAGCACAACAAACCATACTGTACATTTGGATTGTAATCCCCCATTACAACTATCGCACATGCCAGACATACAATTATCCCTATAAATATTATAGGATCATTGATGACACAGTTTACATTCTTCAGTACTTGCACAGCCTCGTTTGAGTGGTCCTCTCAAGGTGAGAGGATTTTTCTCACTGCAGGTGTAGGTTATCCATATACTTGTAGAGAAAAACATCTATAGGTTGGATAGCCATTACCATGAATAGCTCTGCAGTAAAATATTGAACTGTGCTGACAAAGGATTGCCATCAAACATAGGCCAATAATCTGAATTATTAATGACTACAACTGATAAATAAATAAAATAAATTCTCTCTAAGAAACCTAGATGGTCCTCAGCAATAAAAGTTGTCTTTAGGAAGTGCAAATGATGCCATCTGATAAAGCTGAATCAACTTATATCCACCTCATACTTCTTGTTAAAACACATAATGCATTCATTTTCAATTAAAGAAATTCAATAGCAATTAAGGAAAAAAAGTTATACTTGTATCATTTACAAGGCAAATGAGTTTTCCAGTTTCTGGAAAATACGGCTTAAATATATAATATTTTAAATATATATATAGTATGATGCACCTATTTGACACTAAAATCTCATTTCAGCCAAATTAATTTAAGAATTTAAACAACAAGTAGTCAATCATATATTTTCGGAGCCATATCTGTAATATTTCAACTAGGATTACATAAACATCGATGATGATAATTCATAGTATTCTCTTGCATTAATTTATTATCATGCAATGCAGCAATAAAAATCCAATTCTTCATAGTTATCTGATCTGTTTATTTGAAAAATCTATACAAAACTGTCAGATATGCAATAATATTTTGTTATAAAAATCTGAAGTTTCATAAATTAGTCACACAAAGAAGGGACACATAGTTAATTATAAACAAATTACCTGATGCACTGGAGTACGCTGCTTCCTTAATGTTTTTTCTCGAACTCGAGCCAGTGGTTCTCGAACTGAAATAACATTGTAAGGAACTTCACTGCGGTCACCTATAAAAGTAAAAAAAAAAAAAAAAAAAAAAAAAAAATTACAAATTAATTTTTATAGATGTAAGACCTCAATAATGTACAAATCTAAAATACTTTACAACAGTATATTTATTTTCCCAGTCAAAATTAAAAAGTATTAATACACACAAACAGGAGTAAAATTAAATCTAATTTAAAGTAACAACTATCTAAAATATTAGTGCTATATTAGGAAGACAATTAATATTATTACATTTTAAAACCAAGAATGCCTTTTCCATTTATCTGATGAAGCATTACTTATTTTACAAATAAATATATTTTCATGAGCAATAAATTACCCGCTATATTGTTTTCTTCAACTTGATCAACTGCTGACATTGTTGGTGGATTATGTAACAATGGAGGTGTCATATAAGGAATGTCTGAAGAAGGTACAGCACCAGCAACTGCGAGACTTGCAGAAGGACTACTAGTACTTCCTTCTCTGGAAGGTTCACTAGGATTTCCAATTTGTATTCGAACTAAAACGTAAAATTTTCATCAAAAATTCAGTATAAAATTCTATTCTATAAAAAAGTGTTTGTCTTTCTGCCATGTCACCCCCTCCCAAAAAAAAAAATAAAAAAAAAATAAAAAATAAAATAATAAATAAATAATAAGCAGTTTTAAGCAGTTTTAAGCAGGAGGTGTTAAAGTTTTTAAAGCAGGAGGCATGTACAATAAATAAAATTCTTTTAATTCAGTATTTCAGTTTTAAGTTTTCAAACCAAATTAAAAATTAAACTCCATGCCTGAAGATTTTTAATATACATAAAATAGATTTAATTCCATATCTAATAAACAGACAAACCAGTTAACCATGTCTAACAAAAGGACAAACTAGTTCGTTATTTAAGGCTAAAAGCTTTAATTGAAACAACTGAAAAATGTAAAATACAATGAGCATATCTCTCATTTTTTATTAATAGCCTATGTATTTTATTAATTTTACCATAATATTATAAAACAAAGTATATTAAAAAAGTGTTTAATGCAAACATATCTTTAAAACAGAGTTACACATTCTGAATGTTTTTAATTTTTATTAATGTATCATTTTTTTATTTAATTTGCATAAATGTACAACTGTTTTAATGTTTTCATGTAAATTTGCTACTGCCCCAAAAAGCATGTAACACACTCTAATGTAAAGGAATAGAGAAATGGGACGAAATATAAAAAAATAAAATTTTAGTTTTTACTTTTCTTCACATTAATGATCATATAACTAGGATAATCATAATCTACAGACTATCCTGTTTTTGCAATTATAACATACTTCAGGGGTTTTGATAGTGAATTAGCAGCCAATAAGTCCACTGGAAGACTTTAATCTAGTATTAAAATATGTTTTAATAAAATAATTCCATAGATGAGAACAAACAAATTCTATTTCCCCCCTTAACAATAGTTTCTTACACAATTTAAATAACTAAAGCTTTGCACAAAAATACATTAATGGAATGTAATAGAATAAGTATGAAGCCTACCAGAAAGATGTGTTCGATGATGTTATCTCAAGTTACAAACATATTGTTATGAAATGTACAGCCGCAGTGAGATATCTTTCCCGCAAACCACTTTTAGGGTGTCCATAAAATGGCAAAGGAAGGCAGGGTTGCCACATTTGGCGAGAAATCGTCATTTTGCGACATTTGGAGACAAAACTGGCAATATGCCAGGGACGGATGGAGAACTTTCTGGAATGAATTCTTACTGGTTTAGCCCAGAATGTTCTCGAACACAAGACGAAAGCTATATAAACCCTGCTGGTTCGCAGTCAGGGAGTGCCTCGAGTTAGCCATGCGGAGTCAATCGAGTTGACAGCCAAGCAGCAAGTGCCGAGTGGGTCGTTGAGTGCACCGAAGGAGTCTCTTAGTGTATTGCGGTTAGTGCATCGTCGAGAGAGCATGCTGAGTTCCGGGAACGACTGAACCGAAAAGTCGGGAGCTGTGGTCTGTGTGTCATCGAGTGCATTGCGAGTTGTAGCGTGGAGAGTCTCAAGAGTACGTGGAGTTCTGAGAACGACTAAGCAGAGTCAGGAGCTGTACTCTGGTGCTTTGCAGTGAAGCTGTCTCCACCGTTATTGCTTGACAGTGTGAAGGCTGTGTTGCTGATTGTTCCAGCGTGTTTATAGTAGATCTTCGTAGACTGTAAAAGTGTTTTGGAGCTGTCCTGATTGTATTGGCTAACTGGGGATTTGGATTGGATGTTAACTGGGGATGAAAAGTGTGTTTCGATACTCCATCAAGTGCTGTCGTCATTATTCACTCCATATCCACACAAAACCTGTACGAATGTGAAGGAAGAAAATAACGTAACAACTGGTGTCAGAAAAAAAAAAAAAAAAAAAAACGTAACAACATGCAGATGTTCATTTGAGATATATATGGCTCTCTCTCTTTATCACTGCATTTGTAAACATCTGCTCTCCTAAATTAACTGAAAAGTATCTCATGTTATCATTAAAGATGCAATTGTGTAAGCATGGTTACCAAATATTTTTTTTTTTTTTTTTTATTCACACTGTATTTTGTATGAATTCCAACAAAGAAGAAATGCTATAAAAGCATCTCAAAATTTAGTAACAGTTTCGGGTGAAATTTTTCGGGCAGACTGTACAAGAGATGGTTAAAAAAATTTGAAGCAGGTGATTTTGATCTTAATGATAAGCTATAAGCTGGGTGGTCATCTCTGATTGATGATAATATTGTTTGAGACAAGACAGAGCAAAGGGAAAAAAAAATTTTCGACAACATCAGAGACTGCAAAAAGCCTCATTTAGCTCAACAAACCCACTTCAAACCATATTTGGAAACTATGCTATTCCAGATGGATGCCTCATGCATTAAGAAAGAAACATTTGCATGATCAAGTTGTCATATGCTTGCTCATAACAAAAAAAAAAAAAAAAAAAAAAAAAAAAAAAAAAAAAAAAAAAAAAACCCTTTTTGGATTGGATGTTAACTGGGGATGAAAAGTAGATTACATATGAAAACACTGTTAGGAAAACAGCATACTGTGAGCCGGACAACCTGCTCCCTCCATCTCTAACCCGAGTTTGAACTTGGATAAGAGAATGCTATGTCTATGGGCAGATGTCCAAGGACTTTATGAGCTTTTGAAACCTAAAGAAAAAGCTCTGAAAGCTCAATTCAGAGATAAACTGTCAGAAAATGGATGATTTAAACAAAGCAGTCAAAGAAAATAGGTCAGCAATGTTCAAATAGGAAACGCATCATACTCTATCATTATAATGCCAGACTAAATTCTGCTTTGGTGACTCATTAGTTAATCATAATGCTAAGCTGGGAATTCTGCATTCCTCTCTGATTATGACTTGTTTTTCTCCTTGCAAAATTTTTTGAAGGCGAGAAAGTTCAAAACTGAAGCAGTTGTCAGCAAAGCAATACTTGAGTTCTCCGCCACTAAGGATAAAACATTTTTCAAAAACAGTACCTACAAATCACCATTATGCTGGCAAAAGGTCATAAATAATGACAAAAATTAATATTGTGCAATAACTATTATTAAAAATGTAGTATTTTCTTTCCCTTCCCAAATAGACAAAATTTACTTGTAGACCTGAACACAATATCAGCTTTTAGTTGTAATATTATGACTCTCACGAAACAGCTTCAAATGTATGAATTATGAGATTTTGGACATGGAATGGAGTCTGCTATATGAGACGTACTACTTCTGTAGTTATTCTGACATAAACTACAGTGTCATCATAGAATTCATCAAAAACATCTCGCAGAATTCATTACTACTTATCAAGGGAACATAATGGTCCAAAATTAAAAAGTATTTAATGTATGTAACCAGTTTATAAACATTTTGGGCTCTACTCTTATATGTGCCCTAAGATCACCAAATGTGGCAATATGTGTTCTGCGCTGGTTTATGGAGCGATTGCGCGTTGTATGGCTATGTATATCATGTTATTTAATCCCTTTTACTTGAGCTAATTTAACACTGAAAAGTAGGAGTACCATTGATCCCACCGCCGGTGGCAGTACTCATAGTGCTCACTGGAGCCACAATTTCCATCACGACTCGAGAAATGACGCCAGAATGTTGTTAGCTTTTTTGTTAGTGTGTGTGGCTAATACCTACTTACTTAGGGTAAATATTAGGTGGCCCCCTCACTTCTACATAACATAACCCTTTTGACGTTGAATACTCTTTTGCTGGAGTGTTTTAATTGCTCGTTGGTTCGTGTCATGCGTGTTTTGAAATGGCCTATGTTGCAATGAGAGACGTGGTTGCAAGAGGGTCTGGGGGATTATTTTTAGTGGCTGTGCATGATAGAAGTAAGGAAATGCTGATGCAGCGTGGTGGATTGAGACTTTTACAACTCTTTTTTTCAGAGTGGATTGAGCCTTGTACAACTATTATTTCGGATGGCTGGAAATCTTACAAGGATTTAGGAAAAGAAGATTTTGAACATTTATTTGTGAACTATAGTATGAATTTTCTGGATAGTGTGCCTGGCTGTTATATAAGTACGATAGTGATTGCGCGACGGCATGTTAAAGGCGGCATGAAATTGGTATTTGTGTTGTTCGAAAAAGCATTCATTCATGGTAAGTGCATCTTATTTTGTAAAATGTTATGTTCATTGTTTTTTAATATGAATTTCTGCCATTACTACTGTCTTTTTGAATTGTTTGAAATTTATTTTAGTTATTTTAGTTTATTTTGTTGATTAGTGCATAGTGCCTAGATTGTGCAATTTGTAGATGTTTTTTTAAGTTGAAATAGAATGCTGTGTACATGGTATTCTTTGAAATTTATTGTTATGTTAATTTATTAAAGTGTAGTTCATAGATTATTAAAGTTTTGCTGCCTAGATTGTGCAATTCGTAGATGTTTTTTCAAGTTAAAACATATCGCTGCGTAGATGGATTCTTGTCAAATATTTTTTGTTAGAAACTTTACATTTTTGCTACCTAAATTTTTTGTTTTTCTTTCGGATTTTTAGCTTAAAATTGTGTGTTTAAAAAGTGGTTTTCGCATGTATGTTTTTGGAGACATTTTAGGCTTAAAGTTCTAAATGAAGACAAAAAATTTAGATAGTAATATGGCACCATGGAGTTTCTCGCCAAAAATGTTTGGCAAGAAATTTGGCGACTTGAGGGGGCATATAAGAGTAGTTCCACATTCTGAAGTATTTTATTTCCTAATGCTGAACAACATCTTTTTAACCAACTATTCATCCTTCAGCACACAATAAATCTTGTTCACAAATATCAAACAGTGAAGCAGTAATTAAAAAGAATACTATAGATGCCACTAAATTACTTCAAACCAGCCAGGATATCACCCTTACAATGGGATATTTCTAAATGAATACAACTACAGTACAAAGTCCGTAATCCAGACATCCATTATCCGGAATGATCTATAATCCGGACCTCAACACAAACTTTTTTTTGTATGCTTTACGCATGCACGTACATAACACGCCCTATACTTCCACAGTTATATTATAACACCTTGGTTCATTACTCTTATTAGGTATAGTGTGTGCTTTATTTTGTGTGTTAGTACTTGAATAACCCTTATTCTTCATATCTGGCATGCAGATTTTCTCATTAATTTTTAATTTCTCTTTGAATTCAGAAATAGTTTTACACCCATACAAAATAATTTTCTTACTACTCTGATCGGGTATCCCATTGATCACATAATCAAGAATTGTTGAATCATCAACAGAACCGCGACTGGCTATTTCATGCATGGCAATTAAATATTCAGAAAGGGATTCACCAGGTTTTAAGTGTCGTTTAAGTCCAGACATAGTCTAAATGAACTGCATTTTTTTCTACTTAGCAAGATATTACTTGCATAATCAGAACAGCTTGGCTTAATGATTTGTTTCTCTAACCATTCCGGAAATCTGTTAGGGGGAGGGGGGCACAATGAACTGGAAGTTGACCTATCAGTACTATCCTCATCTTCAGGGCAGATGTTTTTATTTTATTCGGCTTATAATTCCTTAATAAGTGTAGTATTTCATCTTGATGTACTTCGTCTTTGATATGATTTAAATCAATTTCCTTGTCATTATAAATATCAGGAATGCACATGAAATAGTTTTCTGGTTGCAATTTTCTCATTTCGACTATGTGTAATGTATGCTTTACCCATGCGCGCATTGAAAGAAATGTTTAATAAAGTAAACAAATAAAAATTAAGCTTTTTTTTTGTAAAATTTGATACCCTTTAGATCATAATTACTTTTTATTTCATAAATTATGGTTTCATATTTTTAATTGTATAATTTCTGCATGCCATCATACCAGATTTAAATTGATGATCTAAAAATCGGAAAAACCCCTAATCCGGAATCGACGAAGTCCCGATGAGTCCAGATTACGGACATTGTACTGTAATTATAAATCCTTGACAAAGAGGTATTAAATGTTCTAATATTTAACCACTGGCATAAAATTGCATCACATGAATATGAAAAGTTAATATTTTAGATGCTAAGTTTTTTTTTTTTTCTGTCTAGAAAGCTAAAAGTCAAAGCAAATATTAACTGCAAGTGTCTAATATTTTTGTATTAGAAATTTAATATTTTTGTCAACACACTAATTTTACGGATAGTAAACTCCCAATCTGAGCTTTGTAATTGCATGTTAAATTAAAATGAAGTTAATGCTTTACTTGGATTTGAATTCAAATCCACTGTATTACAGTAGACACCACTTAATATAACAGCAGTTAATGTCGCCATTTGGATATTGTTATCAAACTGCTGAAGTACCGTACATTTGTATACATAAACATAGGAAATACATAGCTTACTGAAATCAACAATTCAGTTAATATAATAAAAATATTATAAAATAAATTTTTGAAACTGAAATAAAGTCACCAAATAAGGTCAGAGAAAAATTTAAAATCTGCAATAGAAATATCTCTAAGGGATTAAGTCGGTAAATCATTTTGACAGACTGAAACCGAGAACTTTGATTTCAGTAAACATTTTAAAATTAGACAAAAACACAATCTTAGTTTGACTTCAAATATTTTGATTAAGAATATTGTGATTAATTCTATAGATTCTAAGTGTGATCAGACAAGGGTGGAAAAAAAATCTGTGAAATCTTTTTCACGAAAAATAATTACCCTGAAAATATCTATGCCAAACTAAAGCTGCTTTTTGCAAAAAAGTTATATTAAATAGTTAAATTACAATGCTATTTTTAAAGACATATTTTTTTCATCACATAATGTTATCAAAATAGTTTTGACCAAACGTGATCACATTAAGCACTGCCCATTGTATGTCAAATTATTGTTAAAAACTGATGGAGAGTTAAAGGGTGTCTAACCTTATTACAGAATGTAATGAATATTCTCGGTACATAAATTCAGCAAAATATTTAAAGCTATTAGAAAGAAAAAAATATTTTAAAGTTCTCCAACCTGGACTAGATGCAGCAGAAGTCTGGGAACCTCGGTCTCTCACATGGTCAGCAACTGTATCATACAGACTAACTTCACAATTTGTTGACTGCTGTGCTGAATTATCAACATTTTCAACTTTCTCAATTTTTTTCAATACAACCATACTATTTGATGTTCCAGGCATACTGGCTGCAGGTGGACTTCGAGACTTGGAAATTGATTCTGATACTAGTACACTGTTACCAATTACCTGAGGCACATCATTGACAGTAATTGTAACCGTTACCCCCGAGGCTCCTTCGGAAGCTAATAATGCAGAGCCATTTAAAGGAAACTAAAATGAATAAAAATTGTATAATGTTATAAAGAAACAGGCTTATTTATAATATATTTTCATGCTTAATTGAATAATTTTGATTAATGAATTTGCAAGGCCAAGAAAAATGAAGTTATAAATTGCAAACTAAATCGAAGGATTAACATCTTAGTTGTTTTTCAAAATTATGCTTTATAATCCCCAACTACATAAAAAAAGCAATTTTACTTTTAAAATATGCTTTTTATTAACCTTCCGTTTTTAAGCATAGTTAAAACAGAAAAACTGCGATCTGCATGGAAAGATTCAACTTTTAATATCATTAAAAAATTTAATAATTAAAATATTTGATATAATTTTCCTTTTTAGTTTAATATTCTTGAACTGAATTGAGTAAATATAAATTTATTCTATCACTTTCACAATTCAATTAGTTTGTTTCTAAAAACCCTTTGCAATTCTTAAAAAGTTGAATGGAAACAAAAAAACGAATGCTTGAAAACAACTGCCCCACTACAGAGGCTGTTTGCACATTTTTAAGATGATTTTGCTTTGCTGTGAAAAACAAAAAATCTTCTGCTTTGAATTCTTTTTTAACTGCAACTATATTTTTTAAAGTAAAAATTATCATCTGCTACTTGACAGTTTTGTTTTTAAGCTAAATGTCACTTTTAATATGTATACAAGTTATGACTAAGGAAAGGAAAGCTCTTAATATGTATGCAAGTTAAGACTTTTAAGGAAAGGAAAGCTCTTCACATACATGTCTAAGGCTTATTTGGTAAGAAGCACATCAAAATTTATGAGAACAGGCAAATTTTTCGTCCTCGAAAGTACTAAACATCACTTTGCAACAATAGTACTCTCCAAGGAAAGATAGGTTTTATGGAATGATATATCCAAGTATGGGGAAGAAAATTGTCACTTGTATGCTTCTTACGTTGCTATAAGATCGGATTCAGAGGAAGCTTCCCCCACCGATACATTCTGATTGATAGCTCGAATTATATTGTCAGGGAATCACAGTCAGATAATGCTGAACTCTTCTTTCTTTGTTTTCGATGCTACATTTCTCCATTAAAAATTCCTTCCACACTCTCACGGTGTTTCTAATATTCTCTCTATTTTCAAAAGTGATGATTCAACAGTTTCACCTTTTTTCACTGGTATATGTGAAAATAAATAACTACATAAATAAAATTTTTTAAATAAAAAAAATATCTGAAAGGATTCAGATTTTAAATTACATCCAAATGGGGCGTTTTTCTAACATTTTGTGCATTACATTTATTTATTAAATATCACGTTCTTCACACTAAAACCATAAAATTCAGTTCAACAGCAATATCACAAAATAGTTTTAAAATCAGCATATCTTTAGAATTTCTGATACAGAGACTCACATGCTGGAGATAAAAATGTTTTTTTCTGTACAACATTGCCATTGCTCGCTTTGAAATCCTTGCATTTGTTAATAAAAAATTCGTTAAAGGTTTACAAAATATGAAATCGATAATAAAACAAACTCCAAATTTGGGCTTCATATGCCCATATTTGTAGGAGGATTACGTCATTCAAAATTCGATGGCTCTCTGTAATGTTATTTCATCACAACGCAAAAAAAAAAAAAAAAAAAAAATACATACATTTATGCAGATTTTTCATTATTTAATTTCTTCAAATACAATGCAGGACTCTTAACATTTGGTGGCAAAAGTTTGAAAAGTGAAACAGACATTTATAATGAACCAACGCAAAAACGCAAAACAAAAACAATAGTCCTTCAGGGACAAAGCTTCTTTGGACTAAAAAGAGTCTTTGTTTCTGTTGTCCCTTCATAGCGCATTATACAGTGTATTCCAAACTGAAATGCCACCAAAGGTTATATGAGCTATTTCTTAGTTTTTGAATGAAATATTAATTCCTGTCGTCATTCTTAATAAGACAAGATCCAATATTTTATTTTATTATTTAACGACTTATCATTAATTTAACAATGTATTAAATTTTTATTTATCTCTTTACATTTTAACTTTAATTGTAATATTTTCATTTTTATTTATGTGATTTATATTCTTACCGGCCTTCTAAAGGGCTCTGGCACTTCTAACCTTAGAAATTAAGCTCTGGTTGAAATATTATCTACAGAAAAAATTAATATTTAAATTTTTGCGATTTATTATTCTTCAAACCATTAGAGCAACAATGGCATTATTTAAAAATTTATTAGTACCAATATTTACTCTAATTATGTATTTTCACTACTGGTGAGTCACCGGTAGCCCCCACAGAGCCGTAGCCAAGTGAAGTGCCAGCCAATGATGACTCCCACGTGTTAATTTAAGAGAAATCAATAAGCTAATTTATAAAATGTTGCTTATTATGTGACAGTTTTCTTTGTTTGTGACAGTTTTGGACATAAACATTCACATATCATCAATAATTATTACATAACTATATAGACAGTTTTTTCTTTTGGTTGATTATTGCCTGCTCGTACTTTCTTCACTAGGAATATCTCTATTCAACAACCAGCAATAATCTGCGATCTTTTTTTTATTCCACTCTCCTTGGTACCATATTTCCATGTTTTTTCTATCCTGATGAAATCGTTCACCTTGTTCTTCACTGACTTTTCCTAGGTTTTCTGGAATGTAATCTATGTGTACATGTAAAAAATGTAATTACATACTCATGTTGCATCCGAATAATCTTAATTTTTGTAGCACGTCTTCTACAATAATTTTGTAATCTGGATGTTTCCTGTTCCCTAAAAAATGTTAATTAGCCTGTTTAAAATTCAAACATGCTTCTTTTTCACAATCATTCATCGAAGCTTCAAATTTCGAATCTAACACGAGTTTTCGAATTTGAGATCCAACAAAAATTCCCCTGTAAGTTTAGCATCAGAAATGGAAGGAAATTTGCCACAAATGTATTTAAAGCTATCATTTGCTTTATATAAAGCTTTGACAAACTGTTTCATGATATCTAATTTAATGTAAATATAATATATAAATAATAATTTTGGATTCAACTAGTGGTTTGTGAAGAATATTTTTAAAACCAGGTGATTACACACTCTCAGGAAGGCCAGTTTTATTTTTCCCAGTGATTCTTTTTAATTTGATTATCCCAATCACATAGAAAACATGGAAATTTAGTAAAACCAGATTGTTGTCCAAATAAAATTCCAATTCCCTTCAAGTCACCAGATAAACACCATTGATGTTTGCTATAATCCACCTTGTCTAATAACTTCTTTTGAGAAATCTATAAATAGTCTCCAGTCAGAAGAATTTTGATTAACACCAAAGAAATTCATTATTGCATTGACATAATGCAGAACACAAGCGAGGCTTCTTCCAAAAAATATGGTACCAATTCTTTTTTCATGGTGTTTATACCATGAAAAGTGTGTTTGTGATAGTGGTAAATTTTTAGCTTTAAGGCATGAACCAAGTTCGGCACACAGAGCTTCCTCTTCTTCAGTTACTTGCAAATCTGAATAAATTTCTGTATCACATATATTTTGCATATTAACTTGAGGATGAGAAACAGAAAGATTTACGTTTTGACCTATAGGTCTTATTGCTGAAGGTAGATTTGATATACAAAACCTCCTTTATTTTTTGCATTATAACCAGCAACCTATGTCAAACAAAAATAACAATCATTATAATGATTCTTTTGTTCTCTCCACACCATTGGAATTGTAAAAGGCATTAAATTTTTCTTACTTTTATTCTAAAGGCGGAAAGCTTTAACACAAGTTCGACGCACTTGATGCATAGATTTCAACCTGCAGCAGAACTTGTCAGTAGTCAACTCGCGAACGACATTTTTACAACTATGTGCATGACGCATGTTGTAATTAATCATTCATTAACTTTTAATGAATCATTAATTGTAATCAATTTTGTTACATTTAAAATCCATATACATATAAAACTGAATAATTAAAAATATATATATCACTAAATCTACTATTATATGAAGAAAGCAAGTATTACTACTGATCATAGAAATCAATCACTACTAATCATAGAAAAAAATAATCAGAATCCATAAATCATATATCTTTATTCTGGATTTGATTTCCGCAGGGAAATAAAATTTAAATAATCAAGAGTAATACATGTAAGTATTAAAAAAATACTTATAATTTACGAATGCAAAGATTTATATGTAGCATGCTTAGCAAGCTTAAGTTCTGATTTTGAGAATGTTTTTTTATAACACAGTTCCTCATTTGCCTGCATGCTTATTTTTTCAATCAAAACTGTTTCTAGAGTTTTAGGACCTAAATTTGGTTGAAATTCTGTCTGATTTTTTTTAACAATAGAAAAATTCTTTCACAAGCTGCATTTGAATGAGGTATTATTAAGACAGCAAGCATTACAGTATGCAATACTTTGTATTTAATACACCCATTCATATTTTTTAATTTGGCAATTTCTCCCCATGCTATATCAATACGCAAATCTACAATTTCTCTCAAATCATCTACTTGATACATGGAAAATTCAATTTTCACTTGATTAAGATATTTTCCATCAATAATGGATGGAAAAGTATTTGATCAAGTAAAGAACAGATGAAAATGAAACTTCAGTCCTCAAGTTGAAGTCAGCAACTTCAGCATGTTTTAGAAATGGATCACTTAGTGGAAATTTATCTATTATATATGAACATGCAGTTACAAAAAAAGATCACACAGAATTGAAAAATGATTTTACTTCACTTTCATTCAACTTGGCATTTTTAAAATACAGTACAAAGTCCGTAATCCGGACTCGTCGGGACTTCGGCGATTCCGGATTAAGGTTTTTTTTTTTTTTTTTTTTCGGATTTAAATCTGGTACGATGGCATGCATAAATTATAAAATTGAAAATATGAAACCGTAATTTATGAAATAAAGAGCAATTATGATCTAAAGGGTATCAAAATTTACGAAAAAAGTCTTAATATTTATTTGTTTACTTTATTAAACATTTCTTTCAATGTAAGTTGTTTAAGCTGTTTCATTTTTTGTGCTAAATGCGCATGCGTAAACATTAAACTCGCATGCGTAACATTAAACGCGTACCAAAAAAAAAGTCTGCGGCATTGAGGTCTGGATTATAGATCATTCCGGATAATGGACGTCCGGATTACAGACTTTGTACTGTATAGTCTTGTTTCCGCACAAATCACTACATTTTCATTTTCTTTTTGTTTACTATACTTTTCAAATGGGAGAGATGTTAGAGTAAAATCTTTATTTTCTTTAGAAATTACTAAAGAAATCATTTTACGAATCTAACAAATAAATTCATTAAAAGTTCCACAAGTTCTCTTCTCATTTTATGTATGTAAGAAGTTTGTTGTTGCAAATTAATATTTACTATTATAAACAAAGGCAAAGTATTTTTCAAAAATAACAAGTAAAATTTGGTGGTAGGTGATTATAACATTTTTTTAATGTTCTGCAGTTTCTTTCCTTCATTCTCACTGTTATCTGGTTGATCTCCAAAAAAATTTATCACAGCATCCCACTGTTCCAAAATCCTTGTTATAGATTCTAAAAGAGATAACCATCTCGTACTGCAATATTTCAAAATTTTATGAGATTTTGCATTCTGTCCCAAAATTTGTTGAGCAACTTTGAAGCTATGCTTATGTTTTAAACTTTTCTCTAAATAAAAATATATACCTATTAACAACATTTCAATTTCTGAGTCAATTTTTCAGTAGCCTTTTTTGAAGCTATATGCAAGAGGTGGCATGGACAACCTCAGATGATTATACTTGGTTGATGCATTTTGATAAACAATGCTACACCTTTAAACTTTCCAATCATATTAGTAGCATTATCTGACGAAAATGATGGGCAATTTTTCCATTCTAAACCTTCGCTTTTAAAGTTTTCATTTATACAATTGAAAATACCTTCTCCAGTATTATTTGGGTATTATTTGTGCACTTTAAAAAAGAAATCAATGATGTAATTACCACTCCTGTTTCTTTACTGTAATATGTTATAATCAATGGATATACTTTGTTATCAGTACTTAGAGAAAATGATGTATTGCACACCGATTTTATAATATTGGCAATAGTACATTCTGCAAGCGTTTTCACAATAGCGGCAGTTTTGGTATGACCGCAGCTAATTTTTTTTGCTATGGCAGAACCTTGAAACATTGCTTTGAAAAGCTCTTTGGAATGATCCGAAACAGAAAGCGGTAGATTGTGTTTAATTAAAAATCGAACAAAATAGCATTCTGCTTCTATAGGACCCGTTTCTTCATCTTTTGTTAAGAAATCTTTTATTAAGTTATTTCTTTAGAATTTACAGTGCAAAGTTCTATATGCTTTTGAGAAAAACATGCCGTTTACAGTTATCTTTTCCGCCATGTGCAACTGAGAAGTCTTTGTTGCATACACTGCAGTGTGCATGATTCACACAAATTTCAGATGCATTAGTGCACGGAAATTCTGAAGAATGTGACTCTTTAAATTTCTGCTTTGATAATTTTGGATTTTTCGTTCGAGGTCGCATTATTTAAAAAACACTTCCACCTGAAACTCAGTTCACAAGACACACGCTAAGCTCTCTCCGTAATCCAAACAATGGAGCCAAAGGCAAGCTAATCACGCAGCAGAAACAAACCTAGGAGACAGACACAGTAGACAGATGTTGCGGGGTAACTATTGACAAGTCATTAACGGTTGGAGTTACTGATCTATGATTGGCTATTCTTCAAAACCAGCAATGCACTCAACACGTGATATATGATGACACGAGTATTCAGCCAATCATCGGATGAATTAGTTGGTTTCGTTTTGCGTACCAGTTCTCCTACTCTGTTTCTGTAACATTCGTAATTTTTCCATAGTTTTTGTAACTCGTAGTTTTTCACGAATTTCCATAGAAAACTACGGAGAATGCGTAGTAGTTGTAGTCTCTGTTGATGCAGAGCCCACGGCTTGTCTTGATCGTCTATTTTAATTCCAAAATATGCAAAGTATGCATTTTAAATAAAATCTGTGACAGTTTTGTTTTACTGATGCATAGTTTCCACAAATATAACAGTATATATCGGCATCATTCATACATTTACGAGAAGCTATACTTCATGAAATATTAGTTAAAAGCATTGGAAATAACTACTTGAAACGATTAATTTAAGGATAAGAAAAAAATGACAATTTAAAAGAGTCATGTGACTAAACCATTCTAAACAAAGTGCTGCCATCTATTAGAAAGAAAACTGCAAATGCATATTTTCCATATAAATCATTCTGTTGTGAAACTGATTAGTAGTATCTTACAAACATTAAAAACAAATCTCTTCATTTGATGTACGAGGTACAGATGGCATTGGATGTCATTTAAGTAGGAAGAGAAAAAGGATTTTTCCCTTTCGACCTCGTGACGTGAACCGATTAAGATGTGTAATAACTTCAGGGGACAGAAAAATTTCCTGAAAATTGTTAAATGATGTATATATTTTAGTATTGTATTATTTTGTAGTGTAGATATATAATTAAATAAATCAACTTATTCGGGTTTTTATCTAGTTTTTCTGGATTGCTCGGTATCTCGGATGATTGAAGGAAGTTTTTTTATTTTAATTGATGAGGCTATGTTTAAGTAATAACACATTAAATAAAAAAAAATTTAAAAACCCTTATGTGATCGGGAAAAAATATTTATATTTCTGAAATCAGTATCAAAAATATTTTTAGAAACAATGCAGAATATAGAAATATCAAAAACCATGCTGACCAGTGTCATTAATAAAAAAATTAACTTGATACTGTTTTTGTGCACTGTCTTAACATTGCTTCTTATAACAAATCTATAAAATATGAATATGAAAACTTTTATTTCATCTGATACCTAACCAATCAAACAATTCTTTGCTCTAAAAAACTGCATATCTTTTTATTAAATGGAAAAAACAGACAATCAACTTTGTAGACAGCCATCAAAATAAGTAAAAAGATGAGTGGTATAAGATAATTATTACAAGATGTATACTTTAATGTACATAAAACATGAAATAAATCGCAAATTTTAAAATTAAGCATTGCTATATTATTAGCTTTGCCCTTTAACAGAACATAACAGGAATATTTTTACCATGTATAGCTATTATAATATATTTACCACTTTAGAGGGGTCACTTCCGGGTGGTTTAGGAGCAAGTGCTTTGTTATGGCTTTTAACTTTCACACGCTCAGTAGTTGTACCCATGGTGTTACACTGACCATTATCAGAAATAGCCGAGTGATTACTAATTATAGAATTGGTGGTAGAATTTGGAATTTCTGGCAAAGCTCTGTCTTTAACTGTCCACGAGTTCCTATTACAAATATATAAAACATTTATAACATATAATTTTTCCAAAAACAGTTTTAAAAAAATAGATAAATCAAAAGCAGCAAATAATTTATATTTACAGTTGGCAGTATGATTCTACAGAATATTCTGCAAGCAATTTTAAATATATAATACATAAAATACAAAAATTATTCTTATAATTAAATAACTAGCTTTTTCAACATTTAAACTTTGAAAATAGTTTATAAAACAGTGGGAGGGTATCTGGGCAAAAGTAAATTCTTTAAAACTAATACAAATATTTAGCACACTCCATTTCAAAGATTTAGAATAAAATATTTCCAGAGTAATTAGTCACAACAAAGTATTCATATATTAAATATCCCTGTGATAGACTTTCAAAAATATATTTATGTTGCATAATTATATTACACACACAGAAACTTAAAAATTGCTCATACAACCAACACATATCATTAAAAAGAATTCAAAACAGTATGAAAGTTACTAGACATAAGTGACTTCAAGTAATCAACAGTTACTGGGTTAACATGAAAATAAGAAGCTATTTTCTATTGCTAAAGTATATTAAAATACAACTAATTAACTATTTTAAACATGTGTATATTTAAGGAATAGAAATAACTCAAATGAAAATGGAAGCTATGAAAATTCCATACATAAAAATTTAAATACTTTAAAGTATCATAGATCATTAAGTAATAAAAAAATTAATGATTTTAATCAGGTAAATAACATAACTGGTTATTCAATTATTTAAAATACTGATTACAATCAAAATTTTGTATGTTCAAAAATATAATACTTTACATTTATATTTATTAATTAGTAAAAAGAAAAGCTCTAGTGTAGAAAAGGGTGCCCTCTAATTTGGTGGCAAATAGCAAATACTGATGCTGATACTGGCTTTCTGGTAACTTGTAATCAATTCGGTTTTCCCATTGAAATGGATGACTTTTTTTTGGGGGGGGGATTATGTGCCAATGTTTTTAGTTTAATATGACTGGAATTTCTTAGTTCAGTGATCGAGGGTGGCTACCTGATTTGTAGTACATGTATCATGTACTGAAAATCCCGTATTTTATATTTTGACCATATTTTGAATTATTAGAATTTTAATTACCATTAATTTACCTATAGTTTTCATTGGCTGGCTAGTTCTAATTAATCACTGTCCCTTCACCTTCACAAAGAAGTATGTTTGGTAAAATACTCATTTGTTTCATGATTTAGAGTGAAATGGTAACTGATTTGGTGTGTGAATGAAGGTTTAATTAGTTTTCACTATGAATGTCAAGTTTGTACAAAAGATATGCGTTTGGTTAAGCTTAAAGATCAATTGGATGGCTATGAATGGGTTTGTTGCAAGAAAGGTGCTCATATCAATAGAACTGAGAACCTGCGGAGCCACACATTTGGTATTCCTCTCTTGCAGAGTTTATGTGGTATCACCAGTATTGGGATCAGGAGAGGGAGGATCAATTCTAGGACTACATGATTTGCATTATGTATGTGCAGCAGTCATCTGACACTGACAATGAGATGTAGCCACATATAAGGTGAGTATTTTTGTTGTTTTTGAAACATACATTTTTGATGACAGCCATCTTGGAGACATTACTTTTTGGTATCATAAAGATCACTAAAAATATTCATTTATTTATTTATAAGGGCATCCTATTGTAAAAGTTTACCAAAAGCAAAAATTTATCAGTCTTTTACAAATATGTCAATTTATTAAGTGCATCCATAGTGTTCAGACTATCAATAGTAAAAAAGCATCAATGATTTTAACAGGCAGTTAAAATAACTAGTTTAAATAACAATTTCAAACTATATAAAAAGTAGGAAAACATTATTAAATATAACTATGCCAATTTATTTATTACTTAAATTTATTATCTCTATCACTATATATCAATGTTAAATTTAATGACAAAGATTTGCATGCATGAACTGCACATTATAACTGAAAACTTAGTATTTAAAAGTGCACAGAAGTAAAAGAACCAAGTGTTATCAAAACATTATTCATGATTACAGCAATATCACTTGATACTAAAAGAATGCTGGTACTCTGATATTAGCCTGGATCAGCCAATACATTGCCAACCACAATTCTTCTTTCCAATATGCTTACTTTAAGCAGATTACTAATGTGATGTCCTTTTTTTGTGGCAAAGACAAAAGATGACAGAAGTTTAAATCTGTATTTCTTTTTCAATGCTCCCCAAATGACCTGGTCCATTGTGTGACATACCAAAGTTACATTAGGAGGAAGACACATGGCTCTGTCATCATCTCAGAATTGTTCCACATCAGGATGAAATGAGGCATTGTAGAGAATAAGAAAGGCTTTCCTAGGTTGACTGGCAGATTTTACAATTTTTATACTCAAGGAAAAAAACTGCTGATAAAACCAACCAGTCCACTTCTCTATCCCTTTAACTGATTCCTGTACCAAACAAGCAGAGAATAGAATGTGTCAGTCTCATTAGTACAATTTTTCATGTTTTTAAATGCTCAGGAATTTTTCTATTTGCTTATGAATGCTAGTTTGAGCTTGTGGCTGTCTGTGAAGCTTGAAACTCTCTCCTTACTTCTTTCACAGCCTGGGACCAATTTTTCGCCCCTGAATACAAGTGTTTTCAAAGACAGGATTCAAAAATTCAGATCAAACTCACCATATTTGTAAATTTGACCACCCAGACAGACTCTCCTTTTCAAACATTCTGTGGAAATTTTTCTAGAATGCATTAACATTTTCCAAGTCAGCAATTAGTTTTTCATCACAAACTTTAACCAGTCTCCAGCTACAGCACTTTTCCCCTCTTTTCAGTCAGTCAGCCCTAGCAGTTAATTCTGGGCTTTGCTTCTCAAAATTTCTAATTAAATTTGACAGCTAACTCTTGCATAATGGATCTTGAAATAGGTGTTCCTTTTCCCTTTACTGCTTAAACCACAATTAATGCACCTAACTCATTTTCATCACCTCTCATATTTTTCCTTTCCTTTAAACTACTAATATATGCTATTTTCACACACTAAGATACAATTCAGACCTTTCCCCCCAACCCTATTACAGTAGTTCATTAAACACCTAAATCAATGGCAATATTAATGCTTTTCTTTTTGCCTAGTCTATTTTAGGCATCCAATTTAATTTCCTTTGCAATGTTAACTTGTTTTTCCGCACTCGTGTTTGACCTTTTCCACATGCTTAGACAACACAATACTTATAAGCCTTGGATGTAAACTTAGAAATTAATAATGTAAACTGAAAAAAAGCCAAAAGTTTAGATCACAATAAAGTAAAGCCAAAAACTTCAGGCAAGCCTGCTAATGGTTAGAAATAGAAAGAAATGCAAGTGGTGATTAACAGCAGCCACCTGATTTTCTTCACCCGCTTTGTTATTGAGATGGGGAATGGGATATATTGAAATTCCCAAGAAAAGAACAAAACTTTTAACCAAATTCATTGGACAGTTCTATGACTAACTGTCACGAAGTGGCAGGGATAAAAACTGCAAAAATAGAATATGTAACAAATCTTTGAACACAACAAGGAAACGTGTTGTCATTCATATGCCACATAAAAAATACTCACCCTGCCATTCATAAGAAATACAAATTGTGATTAACCCGTTAACTGCTGCGGAAAATGTACAAGAGTCATTTCCCAGTGCCACGGTTTTTTACACAGGCGCGCGTAGTTATGTGTTGTATTGGGGGGGGGGGGAATAAGTGCAAGTTTTACTTTCTAAAAACTTTTTACTTTCACAAAATAAAGAATAAAAGAAAAAAAATGAATGCACAAAATTTAATGTTTTGAGTAAAAGTATAATAAAAAAATATAGGTATAATAAAAATGATGTTTTGTAATAAAAAAGGTCCCTAAAATTTAGTATTGATCAATTCATTTTTGGACCAGTAAAGTGCAATATCAGGTTTCAGTGTGATACATTGTGAAATCAGTATGCCTAATAAAATATATATTTCTTCTGAACTGGTTGAATGCCACAATTTTGTTCTTGATTTTTCATTTGCAAGGTGTTAGTTCATATACTCGTCTACAAAACGGTTAGTTTCAGTAACAATATGAAGCACAAGCAGTTCATCAAAAGAGATAAATGGGTTTGAAACATCAGTTATATCTTTCTTTATTCCTGGAACCTACTACAAAATGTAAACGAAAATGGAGGACACAGAATAAAAAAAAATACGTTTTATTCACACAACACCAGCCAATACCACACAGTCATTACTTTCACCGCTTTAGACGCATTCTTCTCTCCAATTTCTGCCCACACTTCTCTGAAATAGTATCCTCATTCGCATACTTTGTCAAGGTCATTAAGGTGCAGCTTTGTGAATAATTTTACAGGTAGCAGCGCAAAGCAAATGATAGTATTTTGAATGGGCGTATATATACGCCTGGGCCAGCAAGGCTCGGCTGAGCAAGGCGTATACATTTATGCCTGCGGCAGTTAAGGGGTTAACAGCAGCCACTTTGCTACTGAGATGAGAAATGATGTATATTGAAATTTCCAAGAAAAGATCAAAACTTGTCATCAAATTTGTTACACAGTTCTAGGACTAAGTGACATAGGTATGCATAAAAACTGCAAAAACAGAAAACACATATCTTTGAACAGAACAAGGAGACATGTTGCCATTCATATGCATAAATATGTATTGTAATTACAAAATTGTGGTAATTAAAAAATTCTATATTCTTTCACCACATAAGCAATGTTATAAATTATTACAGTCTAGCTATTAATAAAACACAACATTATTTAAAAGATAATGTCCTTCACTTTTTACACTCTTGTCAGACCAGCAGAAATCACTTCACTCTTTTTTTAAAGTGTTTATCAAGTTTGCAGGACTTTACAGTATAAAAGTAATGAAATATTTGCTCATACACAGCATTTGCACATACCAACAATCATGAAATATTTGCTAATACACAGCATTTTCACATACCAATTACTGAAAATTTATGAATAACAAAATTAAATTATATTAATGAAAATAATTTTACTGAATATTTTCATAGTTTTGATGGCATACACATTATACCAAATGTATTTATGACACTTAATAAAAATCTGATTTCAAAAATCCAGAAAAACTGGAGGAAAAAACCTTACATAAGCATAACAAAAATCACCTTTTAAGATTTCCATCTTCTAAACTTGTATCACTCTGCTTAGATATCATAGATATAGTACCTCCATTCCTTGGCTACAAAAGATAAAAATACATTATAATGATCTTTAAAATTAATTATTATCATAATATATCAATATTATTAACAAAATGTTACAATTCTTCGATCGTAAATATACAGGTATATTTAGTAAACAGCACACATATTTTATTAAAATGAGCCATTTATTATTACTTGAAAATTCTGGATAGTTGAGCATAAAAAAATTGCAAATCATAGAAGAAAAGCCAAATGAATGGAAGATGAAATTTCTAGCCTAAAAACAGACACTTTTTTGTTGACTTATACAGCAGAAACCTACATTAAAAGTTATGTAATGTTTCAGGTTAAAAAAAAAAAAGAGAGAAAGATACTTTTAGACATTTTGAAATACCTTCAACAACTGTAGTTGGTGCATATGCTTCCAAACTTGCACCAATTATTAATTCCGAAGTTTACAGAAGCAGATCATTCTTTAGTTAAATAATCAAGTTACAAGTTACAGATAAAGCAAATAAAAATTGAAATCACTTGTGTAATTTTTCCCATTGCATCACTACTGTTTATATGTATTCAAATAAAATTGCATGTCATGTCCATTATCAGATACTTTTCTTGATGCCAGGATCTTGTAACTTATATTAAATATTACACTGCATGCTTGTTTCTTAGGAGGCAGGTCCCAAATTTTAATATTTTTTTTAAATGTGAGTGAAAAACAAATAAATAGCAGTTAATTTATATTCATCATAACAAAAATTAAAACTGACATTTACAGAGTTGATATGGTTTGTATAAAACCAAATGCAAAAATGTTATAATTGTGTTGCGACATCACACTTATCCATTACTGGTGCTAAACAACACTGTCTGGCAGCAACACTGGCCAAACAGTTCCCTATATATGCTTTATGATAATTTTAGAAGTCTATTATTTAATCTTTTTTTTTTCAGGGGAGGGGGGAGGGAGACTATAGATAATTCTATAGACAATTCTAATTACTTGAGTTTTCCAAAGTTAGCCAAATGACAGATATTTAATCTTTTACAGTAATTAAATTAATACTTTTCTGAAGTATACCTGTGGAAGGAAAAACATTTACTTTTCAGGGTAGAAAATTAATGTTACTTAAAATGATTTGGAAATGTCTTTCTCCACCAGCTAGTAATGTATATACTAAATGACCTTTCTCAGAAGTTGACACATTTTATGGAAAGAAGCTGAACAAAATTTTGCAAAACAAATACTGAATAACTGTTACCTTTACATCATAATTTTAGCAACTTGGAAAATGGCAAAAATGTATAAATCTTCAAGAACGAAATTTTGAAATACTGACAATTTGACTTTAAAGAAAAAGGACATGAATTTCACCCTTCCCCAATAAAACTTACTTTGCTTACTCAAAATTCAACAAAAATCTATAATTATTTTTAAAAGCCAAGGACACATCAACATATGTTTAATTTGCCAGATAATCACAAAATATAGCTGCTCCCAAATATTCAGAGCAGCTACACCAGAAACAGCAAAAAAACTGAGTCAAACATACCTTGCATCCATATTAATATAAAGTTTCTAAACTAGCCTTCACTGACCAGCACAGAGAGTGTTTAAAACTGATTTTCAGCTTTCTGTCCCACTGTGGAAATGTGAATCTAGGTTTCACAGTAACTGTATAAACATTTTGTGAATTTATCCATCCTAGTCAGCTTTTCTTGGTAATATTTGATAAACATTTAACTATATACACTAACAATAAATAATTCACTCAGATGTTTGTTCTAAATATGAACTAAATTCCTTAAACCAATTCCCTACTCTTATTCTACTATTTACATACATTTCTAAAACTCTCTCTCTCTTTTTTTTAAGTACAACTAAATTGATTGGGCCCTGCCATATTTAGAGTTATTCAGCATTCTGAGAAAAACAGCAGGCTTTGTTTATTACCCAAAAAGACCTAAAGAAAACACTGCAAAAAATGTTTGATAGATTAATATGCAAGGACTGGATTTGGATTATTCAATTATGTCAAAGCACACAAGGGTTATCTGCCTAAAGGGAGGGATGCCTTCAAGGAGGAATTTCGTAGGGAAACTGGCTTGTATACACGTTACGCATGGGGAAAACCACGAAAACGCTCATGCAGCCAGCCCGTCACGGGATTCGAACCTCGGATCGAACTACCAGTGTTCAGTGTCTTTACCGCTTGGCCACTGGTGGGCCAATAAATATAGAAGAGCTGAAGCAACTAGAAGATGCACATGCAGTTAAGAGACCATGGCTAAGATTAAACACAGTTGTAATATAGGGGCAGGAATTTAGCAATGAACAGAAATTACTGATATCAGTTAACAAGTAAATATATATATAAAAAAAACTACCATTTTTTATGGCCGGGTTGTTCTCGCATTAATAAAAATTCTTTTAAAACTGCTTTTCCATGAAAATTTAAAACGTCAAAATTTTATAATTAAAAAATTTTCAGTAAATTAGATTGATATTAAATTAATTAAAAATGAATTCTCTACGATTTTCATTTAGCAGCAATGTGAAAGATTATGCTTAAAATTTGAGATATCAACAGAGTAACAGACTACACTATAAAAATGTATTCAAAAAGTAATCTTCTAAATTTCATTTTGTATTTTTTCTAGAATTTAATAAAATATTCCTATATTATTAGAATTTACCTGATACTGAATAGCTGGGGAATTTCTCGTGATATAAATAAAGTAATAATTCATACAATTTACCTGATATTGAACAATTGGGGAATCTCTCGTGATTGATAAACGTCCAGCAGTACCATACTCTGGTGACCTAAGGAGCATAAACATACACCATTAAAAAGTAAAAGTATTTTTAAAAACTGTACATGCATTTATTCCTCTCCATACATCTACACTCCTTATAAAGTATTTGGCTTAAATAGGGTCTTGGTTTTTTTTTTTTTTTTTTTTTTTTTAATATGCATGTCTCTCATGGAAGTAAGAAAAAAGAGCGATGTTCAGGCTATATGGTGAGTGTGGTAAAAGATTCCAAATGAATCTGCTTCATAGTCCAGCTGGTGAATGCAGACACATGTGGTCTTGCATTATCTTAATGGAACATTACCTTTTCATGCTGGAACTTAGTTCGAAGTTTTTCCTTGATAGCAGCGTCAACACGGACTAGCATACTTTACTATTAAGAGTTTTACCTTTTCCCAGATACTCTTTGTGGATAATATCATGATAATCCCACCAGATACAAAGCATGATCTTTTTGTTAGTCAAAATGTGCCTTGCGATGCTGCCAGTGGGCTCACCAGGCACAGAACAACCCTCTTTTGAGCCTATCTTGTTGAAGTAAATCCACTTTTCATTAAAAGTGATGATATGGTGCAGAATTTTTGTCCTTGCATTGATATTTGAGCAAATTAGTGCAGGCCTGAACACATCTGTCCTTATCTGCTTGAGTCGATTGAGCTTGTATGTCAAGTTTATGTGATGGATAGTGTGACTAATGGACATGACACTAATTTCTAACTCCATAGTCAAGCTCTTGAGTGTTTGCATACTGATCTTCCTCCACAAACTCTTGCAGGTGGGCCTCATCAACTTCAGTTGGCCAGCCCGAGCACTCTGCTTCTTGAATGTTTTAGTCCTTATTTTTTAACTTTCTGTAAACCTTCACAGTGTCGTATGTTACAACATTTGTACCTAAAGCAATACATGTGATTTGGTGACATTCTATAGCTGACCTTTTGCACCAGAACAGGAAATAAATTATGGTTCTTATCTGTTAGCATGATAGTTCCATTTTAGAAACCTTGTACTTAATGATAACAATACTTTTTTACAAATTTCACAACACAGTGTTCTAAAGCAAGTCTCTTTTTTTGAAATATCAAAATTTGTTTGACACACCAACATGAACTGTTTGAACATAAGATATTTGCGGTGACAGGAAATTTTCGTTAAAACACGATATTTCTCAACAGTAATAAGATCGCTAATAAAACATTTTCTACTTAATGGTTTAATATTAACAAATATAAATTTGAATTTTCATACCCATTTGAATTTCATCAATTGTCCCAGTAGAATGAGAGATATAGAGTCCCCCCCTTTTTGGGGGGCAATGTCCATTAACATAACCATCTTTACCCTAAAATAAGGGAAATCATAGAAAAATTTAGAAACTGGGAACTGGCCAAATTCATGTTTCAAAAGAGACACTGGCTCATATTTTCATCAAGCACACATGAATACAACCATACAGATACAATATTCCAATCCTAACCCATCCTAATCCCAAAGTATTACACAGTAAAGTTGTATTCATGCATGTTTAATATGCATAGAACCAGTGTCTTTTTTGTCATATGAATATCAGGCTCCAATTTTCAAACCCATTGTGGAGAACATTAGTCTTCTAAAAAGAATCCCTTCCCTTAGGCAAATAACCATAGTAAGCTTTGCTTTAATTCAATATACCTTATACTTTCTATTCCAAACAGTCCATATGCCTAACCTTTATAAAATTATGCTTCATGTAAAAAACACCACTATAAAAAATATGCCCTCCAGACAGACTATCCACCTCCTTCACTCTCCTTTAAGCTACTATATGTATACTTAAAGCTATCCTATTAAAGTAGTTAACATGAAATGTGAACTAGTGCAGCAGCTCATAAATTCCTTTTTTGAGTAAGCAATTCTTTAAAATTAAACAAAAGTTCAACCTAAACTGGGTATCGACTTCAGATGTACAGAGGTTATAAAATTTTTATAAAGATGTGACGTGCTTTTCTTCATCAGGGCAAAGCATTCATTGTTGCTGATGAAAAAAATACGTATAAACTGCAATATACAAGGTTAATAATAAGATAAAATAGAAATGATTTAAATGTGAAAAGGGTTTTATCTAGTATATTATTTAAACTCTAATATTTGCTACAATTTTGAATTGTGAGTTTATAAAATTTTTAAATTATTATTTTGTAATATTTGAGAACAACTTGTACATCTAATTGTGTTTTTCAAAGAGAGCTATAGTCGAAAATTAATTTCTTAAAGCATTTAGGATTTTGTAGACATCACAGGCATAACTAATAATTTATCAAAGTTAAATTCTATTTTGGGGATTTTATGTTTGCTAAATTTGTGCATTATATTGTCCATTAGCAAGTGTACTAATCCTTGTTAAATGTTATTTTCGTTTCCGAAGTAATCTCAGATTAATGATCTTGTTCGATGTTGTTTTCCAAATATTATGTAATTGTTAGGGGTAATTAAGAAACTCAAAATTTCTTAACATATAATTTTTCTTTAAACAAACATTGAACTTTTCAATGAATATTGAAAGTATAACATGCATTTTTGGGACTAACCAGAAAAAAGATCTGCAAGTGTTAGCCACAGAACTGGGTCTGCCCGTCTCGGATAATTTGAAAGTGATTCAACTCAAAGAGCTAATTACGCACACAGACAAAAATCCCATAAATTTCCAATTAAGCTAAAGTTCTGAAACATCTACTTTAGTAAATCTTCGAAGTGACAAAGGTAAACATCTACATACAAAATGGCATACTCAACTAAATCACTTATTGCAAAAATTCAAGAGAACTGCTTGGAACCGGTGGGAGATCCAACCCCATGTAGTAAAAGTTTAAAAAGAATCATCCCGATTCAGTGAAGGTTTTAAGAGAATCATCTAGATTCTGTGCTGTTGAATGAATCATCCTGATTTAATGAAGTTTAAAAAGAGTCATCCTGATTCTATGGAGTTTTGAGAGAATCATCCCGGTTGCATAAGAAAATCACTCTGATTCTATGTGTCCTGTGTGATGAACCATCCCGATTCAATAAAAGCATGAAAAGAATCATCCTGTGAATAAATAATCCCGATTTAATGAGGTTTGAAGTGAATCATCCTGATTCAGAAATGTTTGATGAATCACTCTGATTCAATGAAGTTTGAAGAGAATTGTCTCGATTCTATGCTATTGATGAATCATACCGATTCCATGAAGTTTGAAAAGAATCATCCTGATTCAATGAAGCTTCAAGGGAATCATCCAGATTTCAAGTTGCTGATGAATCATCCGAATTTAATGAAGATTATGAAAAGCACAAAAATATATTATGGTCAAAAGGCTTCTTATGAAACATTCTTACGAAACAGGTGATAGAGTATGGATGACGTTACATCCTATTTGCAGACCAAACAAACATATTTCTGGCTTTTTGCCAAGATGTCGTAGGAGCCAGAGGGGGAGTCTGTAACCCCACGGTTCAATGAGCGCCCCCTAGTGGCCGCCAGAATAAACACCAGAAAGTATAACAAAAACAAAGACTATAGCAGTCAGTCGATGTGCGGGAGTCATGAACTAAGCATGTTATTTCCACGAGACTTAATTTGTTAACTTAAATGTGTAATTATAATGTCCTTAATTGTAATGTTTAATCTTAATTGTGTTTTGTTAATTAAAACTATTTAAAAAGGCCAAGTGAGTCTTTTGTTTATGGTAGTTTTGGTTATATAAGTATTTTCTTTAACCTTTCTTTCTTACAAATAGGTTCTTCCAGGTTTTTTGGTATACAGTCAAAAGTCTTTAATCCGGACTCGTCGGGACTTCAGCAATTCCGGATTATCGGTTTTTTCGGATTATAGGTCATCAGTTTAAATCTGGTACGATGGCATGCATAAATTATAAAATTGAAAATATGAAACCGTAATTTATGAAATAAAGAGCAATTATGATATAAAGGGTATCAAAATTTACAATGAAAAAAGCTTTATATTTATTTGTTTACTTTATTAAACATTTCTTTCAACGCGTGCATAGTTATGCATTATGCATTATTCATACAGTATGCATAGTCGAAATTAGAAAATTGCAACCAGAAAACTATTTGATGTGTATTCCTGATATTTATACTGACGAGGAATTTGATTTAAATCATATCAAAAACAGAGTACATCGAGATGAAATACTACATTTAGTAAGGAATTATAAGATCCTTTGGTAGCTCCAGAATCGGAAATTCTTTTTGACATAATCGAAAGGTCAAGCTTACTTTTATAAAATTGCTCTAACAATCTGCAAAAAATAATAAGCCGGATCCAATTAGAAGATTAAGGAACAGCGCAATTAATATTAAGTGAAATAGATACTTAGATATTTTAGCTTAGCTTATACCATCCATTATACATTAAATGCGCATGCGTAAATGTATTATGTGCATGCGTAGACACATATGTGCATGCGTGAAGGTATTATGCACATGCGTTAACACATTATGCATTAACGCATTAACACATAATGCGTTAACGCATAACGCATGCGCAGAAAGTTTGTAGCTTTCAGGTCCGGATTAAAGACTTTTGACTGTACTTCGAAAGTACAAGCGACAATAAGTGCAAAAATCATATGTGACTGAGTATATATGGATTATACTTTATTTACTATTACTTTTTATTTATTAATACACTTTATTTTAGCTCAACAGTACAGGTTACTGGTCGAGTTGGCCTATGACTGGAGTGTTAGACATTTGGAGTTTTGATGCCAACTTGTAAGAAGGAACTAGAGCTACAACAGTGAGATGAGTACTGTTGAACTGTTCTGATACAGTTGGAGATATGTTAATGATGACAAGATACTTTAGTTTGCAGAAGATTTGGGCACACGCATCACTTTGAGCAATCAAGGAAAGACAGAACTGTATAGCATTTTATGAACAATGTGAAACTGCAGCTAGTGTGTAAGCTAATGTAGGAGGACATGACATTTAAACATATTGGCAGCTGATAAACAAATACAAAACTGAAAATATACATATCATTACTGTCCTATGTACAAATTTGAATATGGGTAACAGCAGTGAATACAGAGGAGCAGCGTGCCACTTTACTCCTATTGTTGGATATTTACGTTGTAGACGTGTCTGAAAAAAGACTGCATATGATTTGATATGGCTGAGTAGGCAGTGGCATAATATGTAATGATGGAGTCTATTTTATTTTATGCATTTCTGTTACTGCTAGCGTTAGTGGCCCACACTGAGCTTGTGAAAGTTCACTTTTTAAGGGATATGAAGTATGTAGGCAATTAGATATGCAGTTACGTACACTGTTTCTTCTCCTAATGCATACACAGAAACTTGTATTACTGCACTGGAATTGGAGCTCCTGCATAACTTTGCTGTCGCCTTTGGGAAGAAAAAGAAATGTCCTGTGAGCCATCTCTCCTGCTATGCTTTAGCATTTGAGTGGTCCACTTAAGACATGACAATGGGATGAGAGTGTTGCAATCACTTCATCTTGGACATTGTTTGCTGCCTGCTTTGCTAGATCACAGCCCAGTAATACCCTTGTAGGCTGGAACACAACATAGAACAGGAATAGTGAGAAGAAGGAATTCACAACATTAGGTGGTGAATGGCATGTACCAATAGGCTTCTGCTGCATATGCCCAATACAACCTGGTGGAAAGATCTCGCATCACTAAAAATCATGGCATTTGGGGCGTGGTCAATTGTGTAACAGATTGCATGGCAATTAGTTCCACTTAAATGGGATTGTTGACTTCGAGCCAGCTCCTCCATTTGTATTGAACAATGTTATTCTGCAGATGACAAAAGCCACTGCCAGTACCATTTTCTGTCTTGGATCTGTCCATGTAGATGGCTTCTTCTACTTTAGTGCATGGCGAAGGGCAAACAGATGTAAAATATAAACATTGGCCCCATATTTCATGATTCTTATAAAATATTGCTTTTCATTATTGTTCATGATGAAAACAATATGCAAGACCAATAAAGACAGACAGACATGTAGTTTTCACATGTCACCAAGAATTAGCAATTTTTCATGGGGTGTGCAAACAATTAAAAAGTACCAATATAACATTAGGGTCATCAAAAATTATAATTCTTCATTTCAGGTGATCTAATCAAGCCAATCAGATCTGATTAAAATAAGTGGAATGTATGCCTATTGAAACATTATATGTGACAACACATTTAGCATTATGAATTAGAAACATTAAATTCTTAGCATATTGCTACAATATCCTCAAAATACGATTTCTACTTACTTTTCATGGTCCTTGAAGCATACACAAGTGGTGATAAGCACAATAACAATTAAGAAAAGCAATGTACAAAGCCATGAAAGTTCTGGAATGATGTTTTCTGTAGCCATTAGTTCATTTTAAGAATGTACACTTTAAAGGAAGCATAATCCATACCTGGAAAATAATAACAGTAATATTAAAAAATAAAAATTTAACAAAAAATAAGATACTAATACATTTTAAAAGTTGGTGATTATTTATTATAATAGCAAAGTAAAATTATATTTAAATATTACACCCTTTTTTTTCTGTCATCAAATTCAAGACCGGAAAAATGTATGCCAAATGACAAACAGCCTATGCCCAATTATGAAATAGAGCTACTGAAATAAGTTCATTGCTATTTTCCCTCAGCAGACATGACAACATGCTTATACATATATTGTCCTAACTTGGGCAACTGGGTGGAAGAAAAATGAAATTGAATGAATTTCTGAACCTCATGGATGTCTCAGTTGCAGGCCACTCCTCAGAATTAAACTTCATCTTCTCCATCTCTTACAGCCATAAATACTAATGGGAGGCCATGGCTGTCAGTAGTTCAAAGCATCTGACTCCCTCCCTCTTCCATGTACTTTCAGTTTCTTCTTAAAATTCCTTCTCCTTTGCTTTTAGCAAACCCTAATTCAACCAATCCATCCTGCTCCATCTGTATCTTCCTCTTTACATGTAGTCCCACCTTCTCGTTCTCCACCTATAACACAACCCATTCCCAAACGAAGAGAAAGCAGTTCTATAACACCTGCAGCTACAAATAATTCTGTGAACATCTTTGTTAATAAAAACTCAGAACTTGATACTGTGGAACCTGTGCATAGATATAAAGAAATCCATGATTTTCTTGGAGCTGTTATTGAACATAATATGCATTCTTGTGATAGAGATTTAATGTGCAGTTCAGAAGTCACTCCTACAAATATTCTTGACGAATTTGACCCATATTCATCTCCTAAGCAGCCAACTGAGTTGTATGATAATGTACCAGACAATTTGAACTGCTTTTACAGTACCCATAGGTATGAAGATATTCCAGATGATGTTATTTTAAAGGCATAAACATTTTAATGTCGTTTAAAATTTTGTAAAAAGCCAATAAATAAAGAAATAAATTTGTAAAAAGAATTTACTTTGCTTTCATGATTCAACACCCTGATTCGCTGGTTTATATCACGTGACCTCAAGTGATGGGTAGAGTAGACTTTGGCCGATGCTATTCGCACCAACATTAACCACGCATGCACACTGAATTGTCAAAGGCCGGGTTTCTACCTTGGCGTAGTTTATCATTTTTTAAGCGTTGGCGACTTTCAAAAGTTTAGAAAGGAAAATTGGTTCTTTTTCTTATAAAAAGAAGGAACACATTTCCTTTTATTAAAGTATATATAAAAAAGGGCAGATTTTTATGTTCGCAATGTTTATTCTTTTCCTGAACGGTTTGGATAGTTTAAATGGCTGATTTAAAGGGGGGGCAAAATCGTGTTGACATTTTTTGTACATCTTAGAATACATTTAGCTTTAAAGATGTGTTTTGTGCAATCAAGCCTTTTATTCATTCCTCTTTGAAAAATTTCGTCCGATAAAAGATACTAAAAATTAGACAGAGGATTTCTGTGTAGAAATTTAGACATGAAATAAGTTAAAAGCGATTATATGAACTATTAAGTGAATAATTCTATATGCCTGCTTATTTTTTTTATGGAAATAATTGGCATTTTCAGGACACAAAAAGTGCTTCAAAGAACTTTGAAATATTAGTACAAACACATTAATCCATTAAATTGAAATAAATAATGGGATGGAATTTAAAAGACACAAATAATTTAATGTAAGAGATTTAGATTTAAAAATTTGCACACACAAATGATTTATCAGATTTTGCAAGGTTTTATTTCATAAATAACTTTGATTTTGAAATATGGCACTTGAACCTATAAACATGAATGGATACTGAAAAAGTGATGAATATCTAAGAATATTATGATTTTCACTAAGTTTTCTTATTGAATAATAAATTCTGACAGTCATATGCTATAAGACTAGAGTCTAAGTTTGCATATAAATTCCTCCGTTAAATAAAAGAATTTTAGTAATTTCTGTAGCCTTTTTGTCAATACATTAAAGATTTTTTAACTAATTACACGTCCTCGCTTGCAATTAGAATCATCATTAAATCCCTATTTCATCTAATCATTTCCTGAACATTATCATGTATATAGATTGACCTCGTCTTTGTAACTGATAATTATTACTTGCAAATTATTCTCTTGCTGGTGAACTATTAACAGCCCTTTCTATTGCTGAGTTAGGGTTAACAACCTTCGCTCTCACTACCGCCTGCCTTACGGAAATCGGCGTAAAATGCTGGTACCTGGGCTGCTTGTGCGCATGCGCGAACGTAGGTGGTGTGAATAGCCTGTTAGCTATTTGCACCATCGATGCGATTAGCCACTGTGGTAGACTTTAAGGTACCCCTTGTTTTATGGTGAAGTTGTTGTTTCATTTATGGTAGCCTGAGTAGTTGAATTTTATGGAAGCCCTATTATGACGGAATCGGGTGCATGATTCTTGGAAATTTTTAATCATGGGATGTTTTGTAAGCGTTTTTGTGGTGTGTGTTAAAACCGCTTACATGGATTTGAATGGGTTTGTAGGAAGAAAGGTTCAGATGGTCACTATGTGAAGTGTTCGATCAGAAAGAGTACCTGGTTTGAAAAAAGTCATTTGAGTATGATTGATATTTTGATTTTTACATGGCTCTGGGTGTACGAAGCGAACTCAAAAATCATGGTAAGTGCACATTTGCTTTTGGTAGTGCTTAAATGTATAACATGTTTTTCCTTTTTTATGTTATTTTATTGTTTGGTTTAAAATGTATTTCATTGAGATTATGTACTTTTTGTTTGCCTATATTGTAGAATTTGGTGCTCCTTTGACTTTTTAAGTGAAAATATATTGATGTATATATGGGCAAAGTAAAGGGAGTGTGCAATGCAAGTTTGTACAATTCTGGGATTTTTTTAAAGTGAAAATAGGTCGACGTGTACATAGATAAAGTTAAAAGAGTGTGCAATGCCATTTTTGTGCAATTCGGGTTTTTTTTTTTTTTTTTAAGTGAAAACAGGTTGACGTGTACACGGATAAAGTCAAAGGCGTGCACAATGCCCCTTTTGTGCAATTCAGGGTTTTTTTTTTTTTAAGTGAAAGTAAGTCGATGTGTACATGGATACCGAGTTTGTGCAATGGTTTGTCTTGTTATTTTGGCTTTGTGTAGCGGCGTTTTTGGCCCAAAAATCACCTCTTCACAAGCCAAAATAACGAGTCAAAGAATTGCACACAATCGGTATCATGTACCGCCAAAAATCGCCAAGTTTTGCCAAGGGGTACCCTAAACTATACTTTTACCCAAGTGATCTTATCTCACATAAACTACGCTACAAAAATCTAATTCTCTCAGTAATTATCTACATTAATTTCAAGTTAAATCTTAATTTGGAATACTAGTTTAAATGCAGCAATTATTTCAATTTGTACGAATAGCTTACTCAGAAATTATGTAAAGCCAGTGCTGTACTTTGCTAGTCTCATTAACAACATTTTGTTGAAGCTTCATACTCAGATGTTTCTTATTTATATTACCATGTCTTCAAAGCATAACAGCAGATATGTAATCAGTGTTTCTAAGGTTATAAGAGGCCTGTTTTAGCCATCAGCAAGAATATAAAAATTTTGGATATCACAGAAACAGTGAGGGGAAAAAAATCATTTGCAGAAATTGCCAGGTTTTTATGGCAATAATTAATCTTCAATGCATAAAGGTTTTGAAGAATAAGGAAAACACTTCATGCTAGTTCTGATATTGACATAGAATGCAATATACCACTTTGAAGATCATATTTGGATCACTGAACTGTAAATCACCAAAAGAACTTCGTCAACCCTACAGAAAATTCTAATACAGTCAAAAGTCGTTAATTCGGACACCCATAATCCGGACCTCAAAGCTATAAACTTTCTGCACATGCGTTGCGTTCACGCATGCACACAGGCATTTACGAGTGCGCATAAGACCTTTACTGCTGTGAATATGTTTGTGCGCATGCGCGTTTAATGTGTAACGGACGGTACAAGCTAAGCTAACATTATCTAATTCAGTTAATGTTGCAGATTGCGTTGTTCCTTAATCTTCGAATTGGATCCGGTGTATTATTTTTTGCAGACTGTTAGAGCAATTTCATAAAAGTAAGCTTGAACTTTCGATTATGTCAAACAGAATTTCCAATATATATTTACTAATATGCAATTTGTATCTACAAAGCGAAAGTATATTTCGAAATCCGAAATCTGTTTATCAATTTCACGCCGCGGATTGGAAGTTGATCTGTCAGCACTATCCTTATCTTCAGGGCAGATGTTTTTATTTTATTTGGCTTATAATTCCTTACTAAGTGTAGTATTTCATCTTGATGTACTCCGTCTTTGATTAGATTTAAATCAAGTTCCACGTCATTATAAATCGCTTCCGATAGTGAAGAAAGTGACCCAGAGATTATTGAAAACGAAAACATTTCGATTGACAAATTAGTCGGTATTCTCAACACAGCAATTATAGGACTTGAACAGCGGAACTTTGTAACTAACAAGAAATTATGTCTGTTTAATAGAATTAAAGAGAAAGTATTATCACATGAAACGAAGCAACTTACATTGAAAGAAAGTTTAATAAAGTAAACAAATAATATTAAGCATTTTCTTTTTGTAAATTTTGATACCCTTTAGATCATAATTGTTCTTTATTTCATAAATTACCGTTTCATATTTTTAATTTTGTAATTTCTGCATGCCATCTTACCAGATTTAAACTGATGATCTATAATCCGGAAAAATCAATAATCCAGAATCGCCGAAGTCCCGACGAGTCCGGATTAACGACTTTTGACTGTACTCACAAGAAGTGAATCATGTTAAGAGATCTTTGAAGCTAAAAATTCCACACATAACATGAGGAATACCACATAGCAAATGCCTACATGTTATCTAGCAAAAGCATGAATGAAATCTGTTAATAAAAGTTATGATTATTTTTTATCTATGCTGTGCAACATTCATAATGTATACAGCTAAATGACTGATAAAAATAACCCTTTTAAGGATCACTTCAGCTTTCATTTAAATTTCATTCATTTAATTTGTACCAATTTAATGGAATTTAAAATTTAATATGTTAACAAATTAATTAATGAAATCATTTTTATCCATGTAGTCTTAATTATTTGCCTTTATTTACATATTTAAAAATAGCATTTTAGCAATGCTATAAATAAAACCACTAGATTACATATTACATCAATAGCCTAGTTCTTCTCTAGTATGACAAACTGCAAATGTGCTAATGAAAGTAAAAAGACCCTTAAATTTTTGACTGGAAAGTATGAAAAAAAGGACACTTTGACATCGAAATGTTGCAATAAAAAGCAGCTACATGAATTGCAAATGCTAAATAATAATCATAAATGGAACAGCACTACAAATTTTATCCTGCTATAGCCTTGAATTTTTTATTAGAAAGAATTAACATCTACTGATGGCAAGGTCTCAGGGCCAAAACAAAAACCTCAAGATTATATAAGGACTTTCAAAAGACGGGCTGCCAGAAGAAATTCAGATTTTTCCACTAAACACAAGATAGCTGTATAGAATTAACAATGGGATTAATGTAAAAAAAACATTAATATATAAGACCCCTTTTATCACAATTGTAAGCAAAAGCTTACAATTGTGATACTTTACATGGAAATAATTTAAATATTTGACACTAAGTATTTGTAATGTTTGCGGTATGAATTCGTTGGTGACGTTTATAATATAATAGATAATTTAGAGGTAAAAGTTTTTGGATATTTTATTTATTTTATACGTGGAAATGTTCATATTTGGAAAGGGTATATACTTTTTCGTTATTAGGTAATTTCATATATGTTCTTTTTAACGGGTTTAAAGATTCAGAAATTGTCACGCATTTTTTGTGAAATTTTTCTAATTTATGAGAAAAAAGCAGTGTACAATGGATATGGTGAAGAGTGTGCGCAATGCCATATTTGTGCAATTCTGGGATTTTTTTTTTAAAGTAAAAAATAAGTTGACGTGTACATGGTTTTAGTGATATTTTAATTAAATGATAGTTATTTTGTGAATTTTATGTTTGTAGGAATTTGGTATACATTTAGTTGAAGTAACGTGCATGGAAATAATTTAAATATTTGACACTAAGTATTTGTAATGCTTGTGGTATGAATTCGTTGGTGACGTTTATAATATAATAGATGATTTAGAGGTAAAAGTTTTTGGATATTTTATTTATTTTATATGTGGAAATGTTCGTATTTGGAAAGGGTATATACTTTTTCGTGATCAGGTAATTTCATATATGTTCTTTTTACCGGGTTTAAAGATTCAGAAAATTGTCATGTATTTTCGTGAAATTTTTCTAATTTATGAGAAAAAAGCAGTGTACATGGATATAGTGAAGAGGCATGCCATTTTTGTGTAATTCTGGGATTTTTTTTAAGTAAAAATAAGTTGACGTCTACATGGTTTATGTGTATGTGTTATTTTGAAAAACGCGTAAGGAGTATGGTATTGTGCACTTTTTCCCAATTTTGCAGTGAATATTTGTCATGATTAAGCAGTTTTGTTAGATAAAATTTCTAGCATAAGTGTAATTCGGCTAGTAGATTGTTGGAAGAAGTGTTCAGTAGATAAAAAGAAAAGAAACATGTCTTTACTTCGTGAAGACAAAATGGCGGCGGGAAAAAAAAAATAGAGGGTTGCTGTAGGAGAGTTGGTCGCCAAATTTTCGCCAAAAAATTGCCAAGTTACCATAATCTAAAGATCAACCAATCATTGCTAATAACAATTTTCCAATAATACCAATTTATTTATTTACTCCTTACATTTAGAACAATGCATAAAAATAATATCCTCAAATAATTAAAAATACTAACTTACCTAATCTTCTACACTATCTTGAGTGCATGGCGGATCACAAAATGTCCATTTTCACCAGATTTCTTGCACCGCCATTCAAACTTATCTGTAATATCCTTCCTTTCACACAATCTCATTTCATACCCACATGTTCGACATTCATACTTATCCGCAATTAAGCAATTCTTTTCAATTACGCATAAACGCAATAAAAATTTTGGATTTACTTTATATACGGCCATGGGATCCAAATATTAAACAACACTGTTTCACAGAACATAGAATAAAACTAATGTTGTACAGCAGATATTTTTACAAATTTAACCCCTTTTCCGATTAAAGAACAGTGATTCATCCTTAAGACACAATAACACGCCGAAATCCAAAACCGCAAATGATTTTTGTGGTTTTGCAGCTGAAGATGATGGTTCGGTAAAACCATCGAAACTAGTCCTGTGAAAATTTTGTAAATATAACGCTGATTTTTGTTGTTTGACTTCTGAATTAGTGATTCATCCATTAATGTCACATGACATATCTCATGATCTCTCATTTCCCTCACACAAAATAATGCATAATCGGAACTGAGTACTTCTCACATTATTCCCAAAGTCCTAGGTAGTAACCTTTATCGCCTCCAAAATGTCGCTGAACTACCTGTTACCATATTCCAAAGATCAGCCCTTATGTTATATGTATATGCTATGCATGATGTTATGCAATTCTCTAGTTCACCCACCCCCACAGAAAACAGATGAATATACATATGGAAAAACAAATAGCACACACACAAGAAAAAGGAAAAAAATAGGCAGTATTGGATGTATCATTGAAACTAAAGATAGGTAATAATGTTATTCAAATCAATTCTTCACTCAAAGGTTGGCAACGAATTTGCAGCTTTTCAGTACCAATGAATTGATGAGTTTTCTAGAATTGTTTGATTTTAAAGTTTTATTTTGATATTATAATTTTAAATATTGTGCTATTTTTATACAAGCTGAATATATACAGTCAAAAGTCTTTAATCCGGACATAAGACGTAATCTCAGGTAAGACATGGATGTTTGTAAATATATAGTATCGGTGCGGCATGGCAGAACTGTAAATATGCGGCGAGCCGAAAGTCTTCTCATGTGGATTGGTGGGTGAGGAGAGGAGTAGAGACCCCTCTCCTGATCTCACTGTGGTGCTCTCTCTTAAAATTGGGGTGGAAAATAGAAGGCCAACTCTCTTCGGAGTAGGCTCTGGCAACCATTGTTCTGCAACCACATGTAATGTGGACACGACAACAACAGTCAGTTGACAGAAATTTGTAATATTTCTATTTCATGAATAATGCATATAAGTCATCAAAATTTATCCGTAATCCAACTACATTCAAATAAAAATTTTATACTCTTATAAAATTTCTATTCAAATAGTATGGTACAGAATAAAAAGATATGTTTCCTTTTTCTTACAATATGCAAGCTAGACTACATTTGAATAATATGCAAACTATTCAAAACTATCCCTTCCCCAAAAAAACCTAATCTGAGTAAGAATTCCTAAGAGTAGGCTTGCATTTTTGTTATTTATGGGAAAAGTCATGACAACAACAGTTAAATTATCCATACTGTCAATCGGCTAGACTGGAATTTTAAACTCTATGAATCATATTTTTTAAATTATAGCGAAACTATAAATACTATTTCTCATATTACTTAAATATTTTCTAATATGAATTTGAAAATAACATGTAATAAATGTCACTCATAAATATGAGATATAATAACCAAACATGAATTAGAGCCTGTAACCTATAGATAATATCAGCCTTACTGTATAAATAAATGCTGAAAGATTCCATGGGCAACATCTTTAATCCTGTAATAACAATATAAAATATGATACTTGAATTCTAAATTTATAATACACATTCTAACCAAATACAATTTTGAAATAACATTAAGAAATTCTTTACAGTTTTTTGGTACGGGTAAATATTTCAAAAAGAAAATAAAGCATTACCAAGCGGGAATGAACTACACAGTGAAATTTCATTTCCGATTTTTGTAAAGCAAATCTAATTGAAACAAAATAACTTTTTCTTCATCAAAACATCAATATACGCGCTTCAGCTCTCAGCGGAAAATATTCTAGGTACATATTAAGTAATTAAAACAAATAAATAAATGACTGACGTAAAAATAGAGTCATCTACCATAAATATAAAAACAAAGTTTACACATAATCAACAGTTCAAGGTGCCAACAAACTTTACGTGTAGTCATAGTCATAGTGTTTTCACTGAAGATTTTAATGAAGCCAAAAAAAAATGTGTACAAAACTGTGAATTCAAATGACGCTGAAAGTTTAACTGAAAACCTATGTTAATGAAACTATTATTGAATATGTTCACCGAACATATTCGTTGTTATATCCGTTGTAAAATTCGCTTAAGATCATGTAAAAACTAAATGTGTTTAAACATTAAGAAACTAGATATTTTAGCCATATTGCTCACAGAATAGCAATCCGCCAAACACGTATTGGCGATTGTACTGATTGATAGATGGCGCTTCAAATTCATTTACCCTTTCAAATAGACCTGATATGAGAGTTATTTATACTGTGTTGACTGTCGTCGTAAGGAATTACATAATGGAAAAAAGACAGCAGATTTCAGTAAACTGAGAAAATACTTATAGATTCCTTGCTTAAGGACAAATGTTTAGCAGTATACTGTAGAGAACAAACTCCTTTAAACAAATTTATTAAAGAGAACAGAAGTAAAATGATAACAAGTTTCGTGAGGACAGGTGCTTAAGTGAGAACAGTATTTAACTACTGCTAGAGAAGGTGAGGAATCATTCTTGCACTTTTTTTGCGAGTGATCAGAAAGACTGTTGATCTAAGCGAATTTGGTATAGGGTAGATTTTAACGGCTTGAAGACTCGGAACTAGTATCTCCGAAATTGCACTACTGGTAGGTTGTTCATAATCTATTGTTAGTTGTCAGTATTTATACAAAGTGAATATGATTTATTATGATACAAAGCCATATTTATACAAAGTAGAAATGATAGTGAAAGCAGAAGTGGACGCCAAGGTGTTGGACTACCTCATCAAAGAAAAAAGACGTCGGATATTGTCCCGCTTGGTACAGCAAAATCGACGTCAGACATAGGCTCAGCTGACAGCCGAATACAATGCAGGTCCAAGTGCAAGTGTTTCGGAACACAAAGTTCAGCGGACACTGTTGAACATGACACTGCACAGCAGATGTCCCACTCCTGTGACTCTGTTGACCAGGCGTCATTGTCAATTAAGCCTATAGTGGCTCGAAAACAACGAGACTAGACCATGGATAAGTGGAAGATAGTTGCCTGGTCGGATGAATCCCGATTTCTCATTCATGACGTCAATTGCTGTGTCAGAGTACGCCTTTCCCATATGAACAGTTGCTCCACTCCTGTAAGGGGAGTCATACACAGGCTGCTCGTATAATACACCTAGTTGCTCTGACGTTGCAGTGACATTCCAATGTTACATTTTCGTCACATCATATTTGTGACCACAGTACAAAGTGGCAGAATTGTCACATTGTGATGTGGACGTGAATGTCACTCGGATGCTACATACACGTCGCAGCACACATTTAATGTGACCACAAGAAATTTCTCAGACTCCCCCACCCTGACTTATCTTGACCTTACTCACGTTTAATGGGAGGTATTCTTGCGCTCTGACCTTGCCCTCCCGATTTATTGCTAAATGTTTCAATAAATCTTTCTAAATAAATTACTTTTTATGTTAATAGCCTGAAATTTTAGTTATTTCTTTTTTATTAAAAATATTGACAATTTTATAAGGTGTTTTTATTGATGTGATACTTAGCAATCGTTGAACTATATTCTGTGGTGAATTAATACACATTCTACCGTATTTAGTCTTATCAAAGAGAGGCTGACCAAAAAGTTTATTGTTTGCATATCGTTTGTTTGTCTTAAGGATTTTCGCAACCATGTTTTTTAGTTCTGTTCCTTCTGTTCACCGAACATATTCTAAATTTTCAGGTAAGCACTGTTTGTTGTATATTGAATGTGAATGATTATCAGTAATAATTAATATATAATAATAAAAGCGTAATTTAAATGTTATGAACAAAAAGAAATTATGAACTGACAATCAATTAACTTTTATTTGTATTACAAAGAGAAGAAAGCACATTATCAAAAGTTTACGTTCATTTTTGTCTCACTGCTTAGAAGTTTTAATTTAGAGAGTCAATTTTATTTGGTAGATATAATTCACTTTTTGTTGTTTATAATGTTAAGAAATAATGTGAAAAAGAATTTATTTTATGCATTTTATTGCAGTACTTTCATCGCACTCAACTATTTTTCGAAATTATTCACAGAATAATTACTTACTTCCGTGAATGGTGCTTTAACGTCACATTACAAATGATCCCATACCCCCATAACCATGTTCTAGTTATATATAATAAAATTTAATTATTATAACTTTAAAAATGATATAATACATTACAACACTGAACGTTTTCTTCGTATTTTCTTTACGTAAATTTCTGAGATTATTTTTAAAATTTATTATATTAGATCTTTTCTTCGCATAAATTATGTCACACTTTTACGTATAATATATTTAAGTTAAGTTGTTAAAGTAACCCAATTTTCTTATTATGAGATTTAGTTAAAGAAAATACTTCTTAGTTTAGGTTAGGTTTTTTGATATCGCAAAACACACGTGGGTTCTAAGAGAAGAGATGGCATTGTAGAGGACTTTCTAAGGGAAACTAGCTCGCATTCACATTACGTATTAAGAAAAACATGAAAAACCAACTATGTAAAAGTATTTCTGACTTGAGAGATTAAGAGAATATAATTAAGTTATTCAATTTTTTAATAGATGCATAAATTATTTGAACTATAACAATATAAATATAAGAAAAATTCCATTTCATCGGTACTTGCACGTGAAGGAATTTCAAATCTCATTTGTGACAAAAGAGTGTAAATTAATATTATTTTGTCTCCAAAACTACAAGTTACTTCATTTTATAAAAGAAACTGAATTTCAAATTGTATATTAAGAAAATTTAACCTATTGCCGAAAATTTTATAAATGTAATGAAAATTACTATAAATCGAAATGTATATTTAAGCCACACCGATAAATTTTATTCAAAATAATAATTTTATTTTAAAATAATATATTGTTGCGTGCGTACGGGTTCGTTTGAATTGAATGCACAAGTCCGATGAAAAATGGACAAAATTTAATTATTATCACAATAAAAATGCTTAAATTTCCTCAGATATTCTCTCAGTATTACAATATCTCACAGTAGTTATCTTTTAACTACTCAAACGTTCAACAGAACTTAACTCAAAACAGCTAAAGAAAGCTAATCCGCGAATTCGCTACAGTCAAACAAGAGCAGTTTTCTAAACAAACTATTAAAACAACAACAAACTAACTAACAACTAATCACGAACTGAGAGGTTTTCCTCCTTTTATAAAATTTTAAATCGCGCGCGAGAATTTTCTGGAATTTTCTCGAAATCAAAAAGAGATATTTATTTATTAAATGTTAAATCCATGTGCTCTTGTATTTTTTAATTTTCCGGCTTAGCTTTCCTTTAATATTCATCACGCGCTACACTGCACGGGGAATACAACAATTTAATTTATAATTCAACTTACATTAGCTATTTAAATACCAAATCTGTAACAATATTTCCACTTCTGTAAACAAGGTACTTTATTGTGTTATTAGAAATACAATATTTCACTTCTGTAAACAAGGTACTTTATTGTGTTATTAGAAATACAAAAAGGACATCTAACCCTCTAATTACGTCTAATTTAATTATCTAACCTAATCAAATCTAGTTTGGCTTTAACGTATCCCTTGCAGAAATAGACAATGAAAAGATATTAATTTCTGCAATCGTATTGAAAAAGCTTAGAAAAATTAAGAAAGCATTTTTTCGTAAAGGAATGGAAAAAATTCATTGCGATAACTTGGAAATTTGCATATTATAAAAGATTGATTCATTAAAGGGGATTCTTTGCCACCATCCAGGGGAAGAAAAACTAATTTTAAGGTAAAGTATAATTTCATGGAATTCTTTTTATTCGGACAGACCTCAGTTCTTTGCCGCATTTAAATGAACAAATAAATTTCTTCGGAAATTTGTTTATAGCAGAAAGCCAATTCCTGGAAAGTCAATCGAAGGATCTGAAAACTCCGAATGATTGCGCTGCCTTTTACTGTAGGACAAACAAGTGTTTCTTTTAATGTAAGAGGTGGAGTTTTATGTTTTCGTTATTTTAATTTTTAACAAAAGTTGTAAATTTATTCCTACAAAATTAAGTAGTGGAACTACTTTAATTTTCAAAAATACAGCCAATTTCCATTTGAACATAAATGACTAGAATTCAGTTTTAATTGCGTAGATTCTAAAATGAAAGACATAAACATGTTTTCATACTTACTGTGCTTAAGGTAAATAAAAAAAATTATTTTTATATTAAAGACATCATATAATCTACTTCTCTTCAATTAAGAGTATATTAAGTAAAATGTTTCTTTAATTCCTATCTAGTAAAAAAGCAATAAAATTCGTACTAAAATATGTATTGATGTCTTTTTTACGTTCTGCAGTTTGAAAACATTGCTGATTTCAATAAAGAAACTGAAATGAAAACTTTAAAGAAAGTCCAGTTTAAAGAAAAAAAGAAGTACTTTATAAAAGTACAGTATCAGAGCCTTTCCATCAGATTTTAATATCAGAAATTAATCTCATAACTGCATCTCCTAAATATTTTATTACCTTCCAAATCCTTATTTATGGAATACTTGTTCCCCATTACTGGCAAGTGCTGATTCACTTAAAAACGGTATGGCTCTGTGTTGTGCAGATTAATTTAGATTAAATTAACAACTTTTTGAAAGTATGCATTGTAAAATATAATATCTTCATGTTATTTAAATCAAATCAAAAAACTGAATCATGTTTATGTTAAACGAGAAGAACGGCAAAAATGAGTATATCTAATGTTACCTCATCTTTACCTCAAAACACATTTTCAGAATCTCCATCTTTGCTCTGTAAAATCATATTAAAACTATTCCAAATGCCCAAGTTAAAACATGGTTCTAATTTCATTCTATGCTTGCAGAAATCTGTGGATAGCAAAGAATCTTCATTGATTTTT